ACCGCCTCAACGACTACTTCAACGCGACCGTCAACTTCCACTTCGGGACCTGCACAGACACTAAGAATCGTCGCCATGGCACAAACAACAGAGTCAAACATCGACTTGTGCATTACCGGCTCTCCACCGACTTACAGTCCTAATGAGCAACCGTCACCACCACCGTCGTCCCTTAACGTGAATCCAACATACGCCGCCATCGCGAACCGTGCACCCACCGGACCAGACACATGGTTCCTCGACAGCTGTTGCGGTCATCACATGTGCTCTTCATCACGATTTCTTCAGCGCGAACGACGTCTTCCGCGAGACGTCATCATCACCATCGCCAACAACGAAAACCTGCGCACCAACAAACAAGGAGTCGTGGAGCTTCAGTCAAACGAAACAAACATTATTCTTCAACTAAATAAAGTACTCGTCGTCGACAACCTCGGCTTCAACTTACTGAGCGTCAGCCAACTCATGTCGAAAGGCGTTCACCTGGAGTGTGACTCCGACGCCCTGGAAATCCGTCTTTACCACGGAAAAGGGGGGGTCTTCATCAGCCGCGCAATCCAACAAGATGACGTGTTCGTCCTCGACTTCGTCCCCGACAAAGGCACCGCAGACAGCGACGGCATAGTTGCTCTCGCACCTTGGACGCATCCGCCAGACCTCGACCCGAACTTCAGTCCTGAAGGATTCTGGTACTCTCGTACCATCCCCGAAGCTGAACGCACCAACGCGCTTGCCGTCTTGCAAACACAAGCCACAACACCTGAGTCAGCACCCGTCATCGAAACAACAACTGCACCCGTCACAACACCAACAACTACCGAACCTGAAATTGAAGAACCAATCGTCGTCACGGAACAACCTTCCGAAACTCCACAGCCCGGTCCCTCCGTCGCACCTCCACCTCTCATCATCGACACGCCACCGACAGCCGCCCAACAGTTAACGCCAGCACCACGCGCCGTTCATCAAAGTGCAGCAACACACGCCGCCTTCTTCGCTAACGCAGACTTCTATCGACGCTCCGTCGGTCACAGCGCCTCCGAAGACATCTGGCATCAACGCCTTGGACATCGTGGAAACACAACACTTTACAACACAATACGAGCAGGAGTGTTACACAAGAACGCCCTACTTCTTCCCAACGGACGTGAACTCGAACGACCACGCGGCACCTGCTTCATCTGCCCAGAAGCAGATCTGCCTCACCAACCGTTCCCGTCACACCACAATCCGAGCGCCCCCGTTTATCAACCACTCGAGAAAGTCTACAGCGACATACTATACATACCTCGAACCGAAGGACGAGAAGATCTGAACTACGTCATCACCTTCATCGACGCCGCAACGCGATATGTCTGGCACGTCAACTTACCGTCACGAGACATGGCTCTAGAAGCCTTCACAGCCTGGCTACCTGTCGCTGAAAGAGAGTCAGGAGCGAAACTGAAGAGTTTTCAGTCAGATGGCGCAAAGGAGTACCAGTCGAACAACTTCACACAGTTCTTGGCAGAAAGAGGCATCAAACGCCTCATCTCTCTTCCTTACGCTCACCAACAGCAGGGTGTAGCAGAAAGGATGAACAGGACCCTGCAGACAACCATGCGAAAGCTGCTACGTGGAACTCGACTGCCCAACTCAGAATGGCCAGCAGCGATGGACCACGCTGTCCTACTGCACAACTTGCTGTCCTCATCTTCACTGCCCAACAACGCATCTCCGCACCTGTTGTGGACTGGGAAGCTGGGCAACACAAAAATGTTACGAGTTTTTGGGTGTATGGTACAGTACCGCCCACACACCGCACGCGCAAGGAGATTCTCGCAACGTGCACAGTGGGGTCTACACCTCTGGCTGGCAAAACATTACGAAGCCTGGCGAATCTTCGACGTCCACACAAAGGAAACAGTAGCAGCACGTGACGTTATCTTCTACGAGCGACTCACCCTCAACCATTACCTGGACAACATCGCACGCCACGTCGAACCCACCGGCGGATTTTCTGGTTCCCGAGCCTTCGCTTCACCCTCCGATGCTGCTGACTGGGAAGAAGAAAACGACGACAGCGCCTCCGAAGCTGCTGGACCCCTTCCTTACTGCTCCTTCCCAATCCCCATGGACGAGGAAAACCCTCGCGACAGTAACAATGCCGACGCCTACTACCATTTCGCCGACAATGGTTACGTAACACCCCAAACCATCAACACCGACATCTCTGAACGATACGACCCCGGATTCGCACCTGATCCTGAAGCGGGAGACGAAGCAGTCTATCCCGAGGACCCCTTGCTGAACCGTCACACCCCCAGCGGACTCCAAGTCCTGGGACTCGTCGCTGCAGTGCACGGGCCTTCGTCGCCACCTAAAGAGCCTCGCTCTGTCAAGCAGGCTCTGGGGGGGGAACACAAAGAAAAATGGCGCGAAGCCATGGAAAAGGAGTTAAAGGCGCTTTCAGACCGCAACAGCTGGAAGATCGTCCCTGCATCACTCGCACAAGACAAACCCATACTCTCCGGAAAATGGGTATTCTGGATCAAAACCAACTCCGACGGAACCATCGAACGGTTTAAAGCTCGATGGGTCGTCCGCGGATTCGACCAAGAGTATGGTCGCGATTTCACTGAAACCTTCGCACCAGTCAGTCGACATACTTCCCTGCGCATACTCCTCGCCATCGCCGCCTCACGTCGCCGCCCACTCCGACAAATCGACGTCGCCAACGCCTTTCTGTACGCCCCAGTCGACGCTGAAATCTTCGTCGAACAGCCCCACGGGTTCGTCGACAACCCTTCCCTCGTCTGCCAACTACTTAAATCACTATACGGAATTAAGCAGGCACCGCGACTCTGGCAGCAGTACCTGCACGCACGACTCAAACGCATCGGATTCAACCAATTGCCCCATGACCAGGGCATGTATCGTCTCACTCGCGACAACGACTACGTTCTACTAATCGTCTACGTCGACGATTTGCTTTACATCGGGTCAACTACCACCATCGTCACCTGGTTCGAGAGGGAGCTTCAAACAGATCTCTCCCTCACAGTCTCACCCAACGTCATGCAGTATCTAGGGCTCAACATCCTCGACGAAGACAACACCATTCGTCTCAGCGCCTCAAAATACGCAAGCACTATCGCCGAACGCTTCTGCATCACACCGACGCACGTCGCAACACCCTACAGTCACCTATCGCTCGATCCAACCGAAGAAACCAACCCACTGCCGCCTGCTGGAATCCAGGAATATCAACAGAAACTGGGCTGCCTACTCTTTGCCGCCGTTACGTGCCGACCGGACTTATCCTACAGCGCCAATCAACTAGCGACCTTCCTCAAGCGCCCAGAACAACGTCACCTCAAGGAACTCAACCGTGCCCTTCTCTACTTCATCTCGACGCCAACAGTTGGCCTAACGTATCACAAGAACACGACGACCGACCTAAAACTACTCGGCTACGTCGACGCTGATCATGTTGCTGATCGTGTCGATCGTCGCTCTCGCACCGGCTACATCTACCGTCTCGAGCCCGTCGGAACTATCTCCTGGCAATCAAGTAAGCAGGAACTCGTCGCACTATCATCTGCTGAAGCAGAGTATATTGCTCTCTGCACTGCTACCAAGGAGGGCCTGTACCTGCGCGAACTGCTGGAAGAAGCGAAAATTGCGAAAGTACCCAGCTTCTCGCTTTTCTGCGACAACCAGTCCGCGATACGGATCGCGAACAAGAATGGCTTCGCCAACAGAACCAAGCATATCGCACTGCGATACTTTTTCGTGAAAGACGAAATTGAGAAAGGAAAACTCCAGCTGGATTACTGCCCGACCACCGAGATGGCAGCAGATTATCTCACCAAGAAGCTACCAAAGGGGAAATTCGAGTACTGCATGCTGCTCACCGGATTGGACCACGTCACCGAAGCTGACCACGTCGACACTCCAGAAACGAAGGGGAGTGTTGGGAAAATAAACGCATGACTTAGTGCGTTTCTGTAGTATCGAACCTCACCCGATACTAAAGCACAACAAAAGGGGAATGAAGTCGAAAAGGCGCGTACCACATCAAACCGCAACTGGAGGTTGCGAGCTGTAACCGCCTGGAGGTTACATAACAGCAAGCGACGCTTCAGTGAACAGTAACCACCTCGATAGTCGAAGCGTTACGCGTCTCGATAAACATAACCGCTTCTTGTAATCTATCTTTTCTATATATTCCTGTATGCCCCTTGCTTTAATCAATTACTTGTTCTCACATACCAGCACAAGTACATTCACTCAAGACTTCCGCTGTGCTACTCTAGCACCTACTAGCCTATTCTCTGCAAAGATCCTAAGGCTGAAATTCTCAGCCCAACATGGTGGGTGCACGCATGAACTGGACAGGGAACGAGAACGGGACATAGCAGACCATGACATCTATGGGTTATCAATTCAAGGTTACTAGTTGTGCAGATTTATGTTGGACGTCTAGGGTAGTCAGTCACATGGCGTGCCTTGGAGGCTTAGTTGCTGGGTGGCTTCATTTGAGAAATGAGAGTTTTGGGTGTGTACCTGTGCTTCTATGGACCTGACCAGACACTGGATGGACGAGAGGGGGATAGATGTACAAGTTGTGCCAAGATTTACGGTATGCAAGTTGGTAGGCCACAGGGGTCAATGCTATGGGTGCTGAATGTGCTGAATAGGGAACATGTTGATGGCTTACCTTTTTTGTTTTGTTTAGTACCAGCTTGCTGGATAATGAAGATGACAGGAAAAGGGTACACATGCATGTACACTCATTCCAGTTAACCCTTGAGCAGACTGCGACCTCTGCCAGCTGGCACGCTGCTGCCTTGTGGAGCACCAGATTGTGGCGCCATTTTACCGTAACATGTTCTGGGTTGCCGTAATATTGCTGTATTGACATGCTATTGTGTAAGTTGTGTGGAATCTGGTTATCTCCTAGGTTTAATAATTGCATAAGGGCATCATCAAGCCTGCCCACAAACCACTGATCCAATCTAAGCCCCTAATCCCACTGTCTCGTACATTAAAGCACAGTTGTGGTACACCTCATCCAAAGCTCTTACAAATATACCCCAGCACAAGGCAGGTACCATGCAACAAGCACCAAATGTGAAGAATAACATCAGACAACCAGCCTACACACGAAAACTAAGGGCGTATCCCTGAGTGGTGGCAGGGCAACTGTAGCTGGCACTGTTGGTGGCATGCGCATTTTCCGGGCCCCTGTGTTTTTGGGAAAGTTGCCACCAACCTTGCCAGCTACAGTGGCCCTGCCACCAGCCAGGGATACGCCCTAATCATTCTGAGTTGTAAAACCATACCATACATGCACAACTAAAGGTAGCGCTGAATTGTCAACCCATAAATGTTATGGCGTCTTAACTCCCGTTCTCGTTCCCTGTTCAGATCATCCGTGCATCCACCAAACTTAAAAAACTGGAGCATCTCGAGCTCAGAGAAATCTTCAGGCAGACTCTCCAATATTGCACATCCGTACAAGTCCAGGCTCTTGAGCCGGGTCAGCTGTGCAAAGTTTCCTGGAAGAGAGCGGATCGCGGTGTTTTCAAGTTTCAGCTTGTTGAGGCAGCCAAGCTGGGTGAGAGAAGCAGGGAGATTTTCCAGGGCAGAGCAGTCGGAGAGATCAAGCTCCCTTAGCCTGGAGAGCGCACCGATGCTGGTCGGAAGGGAGGCCAGCTTGGGTGCATGAACTTCCAGGGAGGTCAGATGGCGAAGCTGAGAGATCGTTTCTGGCAGCACCTTCAACTCTGCAGCGTGCTCTATCTGCAAGCTCCGAAGCTGCATCAGATCCGTGCTGATGCTTCCAGGGAGCTTCTCTATGTTACCAGCCCTGGAGATGACCAAAACTCGCAGCTGAGGGAGTGAAGCCAAGGGGAATGCCAGCTCCGTTGCATATTCCGCCAACACCAACTCCAGATGCTGCAACATTGGCAACGCACTGGGTTCAGACAGATTGGCTTCCCCACCCGCCACGTCGACCAGATTCAACGTCAGCTTCTTGAGATTCGGCAGCATTGGAAGGTTCGGCAGAACAATGGTCTGATTGTAGCTCCCCAGGCTCAGAGACTCGAGCGAAGAAGGCATGGAGATAAACGATCCGTTCAGCCACATGGAAGGGTGACACCCAGTCAGCTCCAGCCGTTTAAGCTTTATAAGGGTATCCAGCTTCTTGGGAAGTGACACTAGCTCGCTGCACATCCCAATCGTGAGAGTATTCAGATTGGTCAGCCCTGTGAGGGATTCCGGGACCTCCCTGAGATTGAAGCAGCAATGGATGCTCAGGTGCCGCAGCTGGTTCAGCTTCCCAATCCCTTCCGGAAGCTTCTCATCTGAAACCAGATCCATGTCAAGCCGGGTCAACGAAGTCAACTCGAAGAGTGAGCCCGGGAGCTGCAGCGGATTGAACACATCATCTGGAAACATCCTCTGGATGCCATCCATTCCCTCCAAGCCCTCCGGAAGCCTTATTAGCGGCAGCTTCACCATGCACAGCGTCGTGAGACCTCTTAAACGACCGAAATTCGCTGGGAGCTGGCGGAATTCACGGCAGCCAACCATGAGTAGGGTCCTCAAAGATGGGAGATAGGCAAAAGGTTCCGGGAGTTCCGTGACGGAGAGCATGTACATGGTAAATGTCTCCAGGGATTCGAGACGCCCGAAAGAGTCAGGGAGGTTGGCTAGAGGCAGACTCCGCAGCACCAATGTTTTCAGGGTAGATAAGCGGCCGAAGCTGTCGGGCAGGCTGGACAACCGGCACGAGGTGATCGTTAGGCTCTCCAACTGGGTCAGAGACGTGAAATCTCTGGGCAGGCGCGTGAGCTTTGAGCACCAGCTAAGGTTCAGCTCACGGAGACATGGCAAGATCTCTCCAAGGTCGTCCGGAAGCTGGGCAAGGAAGTGGGAACCCGCAATCACCAGCCGTTCCAGCCTGGAGCACGGCAATCCCGAGGGAAGAAACATGATGAACGGAGACGCCTCACCCTCGAGCTGCAGCGATTTCATAAACGGCAGCTGCGCGACGGAAAACGTTTCCGGTCGTTCTTCTTCTACCTCGGGATCGTAGCTGATGGCCAGGCTGGTAAGCCTCGGCAGTTGAACGAGATTCGCTAGGTGGTGAAAACCCAGGTTCAGAGAGGTTATGCGGATCGAGCTGAGAGACGACAGGGTCGAGAAGCCGGGAGCGATCAGCGCTGACGCGTCCGGGAGAACGAGAGTGCGGAGTTGCGAGAGATGGAAGAACGAAGCCGGAAACACGACGCTCGGGTGGAGAGCGGATCCAAGCCGGTCGAAGGAGATGACCTCCAGCTGCGAGCATCCCTGAAAGAGCCGATCCAAGCCGGTTTCAGTAATCGGGTGCAAGTGCTTCCTCTCCTGGATTTCCGCATCTTTGGTGATCCTGCTTCCAACGTGGAGAACCGTTAGCTTAGGGCATGCCGAGGCGAGGTGAGAGAGGAAGGCGTCGTCTAATGTTTCCACGCTTCCGTCGCACAGATGAAGGTGGGTGAGGTTTGAGAAGCAGGACACGGCGTTGGCGAGGTCCTGGCGGGAAACGGCGACATTTTCCCTGACGAGAAGCGTCGAGACATGACGCTGCGAGAGACAACGCCAGCGACGGCAAACTGAAGCGATGAGGAGGCTAAGAGCTGCGTCGGTGAAGGCGGGAGGAGTCGTCGCGAAAGAGTTCCCCTCGCTATCTCTTGAGTGCTCTGGTGGAACTTTAGTCCAGAAGTATTTCTGCCTCGGAGACATAACGAGTCGCATGTAGCATCTTCATATGTAGCATCCCCGACAGACATAGTGGATAGCGGTGTTTCGGAGGTATGCCATAGAATCCTGGTAAGTAGGTCGTCAGACAGTCTGTTAATGTGCGCACGATCCATGGTTGAGAGCTCGGCTCTAATCTACACGTTTTTCTGCTTGAACTAAAAGCTACTCACAGTAATGGCTCCAGAAGCAACTAAACTAAATCAAAGAAGCTACTGATGTGTAAACTGGTCGCTGGGGTGACTAGCGCGCTAATCAATATTTTACGTTGGACGTTGGATGTCTAGCGCACCCCGCGAATGATCATGTTCATCTGCCATCAGCTATCAGAAATTCCGACCATCTAGCCCCAGACCTGATGAGATCATGACGCGGTATGGTAAAGTAGCCGTTGGTGAGCTTCGCGAAGGCGGGAAAGTGTACCTGAACACCACCACTGGTCTCACGTCGCGACAACACAACAAATTTCTGCTTCAGTTTCAGCTCGCACCAGTCCCTCGCATACACAAAACATTGATACAAGTCTCACGTCTAGATAAACTGAGTCTTGTAAAATCGCTGGTAGTGTATACTTCCTGCAATATGGATCCCGTCCTGTGGTAAAATTATGTCTTTTGGGCAACAATATTTCACCACAATAAGTTTCATATATCACATTATCACCAGAATGGGAGGTATGATGAATCAGGTCGGTCCCAAATCAATTTAACGGGTCGCTCTGAACCTTGCGGTTGTCAGCACTGGAACAACTTCCTCTGTCACAATCAGCTTCCTCAGTGCCCCGTCCCTCTCTGCCTCCAAGTACGCTCCTATGACCGAGTCAGCAATCTTGATACAGAGGCACTCGTATGGTGACCTCTGAGTTGATTCAGACCGCGCCTCAGCACTGTAACAAGTTCCTATGCCACGATCAGCTTCATCACTGCGCCAATCCTCTCTGCCTCCAAACACGCTCGCTTGACGCCTACACCCAAGTCAGCATCAGTGCTGTTAAACAAACGCACCCATATGGTGGTGACGTGGAGGTCAAATCAGAATCAGAATGCGTTGGCTCCAAACCCCGCTCCAGCTTCCTCAGCTTCCTCTATGCTTCCACAAATGCCACTTGGTTCCTACACGCAAGTCAGCAGTCAGTGCTCCCATGTGGTGAAGCCTGCTCCGAACCCTGCTGTTATGAGTCAAATCAGAAAGCGCCTGCTCCGAACCCTGCTGTTATGAGTCAAATCAGAATGCGCCTGCTCCGAGCCCTGCTGTTATGAGTCAAATCAGAATGCGCCTGCTCCGAACCCTGCTGTTATGAGTCAAATCAGAATGCGCCTGCTCCGAACCCTGCTGTTATGAGTCAAATCAGAATGCGCCTGCTCCGAACCCTGCTGTTATGAGTCAAATCAGAATGCGCCTGCTCCGAACCCTGCTGTTATGAGTCAAATCAGAATGCGCCTGCTCCGAACCCTGCTGTTATGAGTCAAATCAGAATGCGCCTGCTCCGAACCCTGCTGTTATGAGTCAAATCAGAATGCGCCTGCTCCGAACCCTGCTGTTATGAGTCAAATCAGAATGCGCCTGCTCCGAACCCTGCTGTTATGAGTCAAATCAGAATGCGCCTGCTCCGAACCCTGCTGTTATGAGTCATATCAGAATGCGCCTGCTCCGAACCCTGCTGTTATGAGTCGAATCAGAATGCGCCTGCTCCGAACCCTGCTGTTATGAGTCAAATCAGAATGCGCCTGCTCCGAACCCTGCTGTTATGAGTCAAATCAGAATGCGCCTGCTCCGAACCCTGCTGTTATGAGTCAAATCAGAATGCGCCTGCTCCGAACCCTGCTGTTATGAGTCAAATCAGAATGCGCCTGCTCCGAACCCTGCTGTTATGAGTCAAATCAGAATGCGCCTGCTCCGAACCCTGCTGTTATGAGTCAAATCAGAATGCGCCTGCTCCGAGCCCTGCTGTTATGAGTCAAATCAGAATGCGCCTGCTCCGAACCCTGCTGTTATGAGTCAAATCAGAATGCGCCTGCTCCGAACCCTGCTGTTATGAGTCAAATCAGAATGCGCCTGCTCCGAACCCTGCTGTTATGAGTCAAATCAGAATGCGCCTGCTCCGAACCCTGCTGTTATGAGTCAAATCAGAATGCGCCTGCTCCGAACCCTGCTGTTATGAGTCAAATCAGAATGCGCCTGCTCCGAACCCTGCTGTTATGAGTCAAATCAGAATGCGCCTGCTCCGAACCCTGCTGTTATGAGTCAAATCAGAATGCGCCTGCTCCGAACCCTGCTGTTATGAGTCAAATCAGAATGCGCCTGCTCCGAACCCTGCTGTTATGAGTCAAATCAGAATGCGCCTGCTCCGAACCCTGCTGTTATGAGTCAAATCAGAATGCGCCTGCTCCGAACCCTGCTGTTATGAGTCAAATCAGAATGCGCCTGCTCCGAACCCTGCTGTTATGAGTCAAATCAGAATGCGCCTGCTCCGAACCCTGCTGTTATGAGTCAAATCAGAATGCGCCTGCTCCGAACCCTGCTGTTATGAGTCAAATCAGAATGCGCCTGCTCCGAACCCTGCTGTTATGAGTCAAATCAGAATGCGCCTGCTCCGAACCCTGCTGTTATGAGTCAAATCAGAATGCGCCTGCTCCGAACCCTGCTGTTATGAGTCAAATCAGAATGCGCCTGCTCCGAACCCTGCTGTTATGAGTCAAATCAGAATGCGCCTGCTCCGAACCCTGCTGTTATGAGTCAAATCAGAATGCGCCTGCTCCGAACCCTGCTGTTATGAGTCAAATCAGAATGCGCCTGCTCCGAACCCTGCTGTTATGAGCGCCCCAAGAAGCTCCTGAGCCACAATCGGCTTCCTCACTGCCCCATCCATCCCGGCCTCGAAGCACGCTCGCTTCACTCCTACATCCAAGTCAGCTGTCAGTGCTATGATACAAAGGCGCTCGTTCGTGGTTGCATCACTTGCACTTGCTGCTGTTTTTGCTGTTTCTGCTGCTGCGGCTGCTGCTGCTGCTGCTGCTGCATCACTGGCGGTTTTGTCTCCCTCTGACTTGTGCTGTGCACGTCGTGAGCTCTCCATCGATCGGATCTGACGAGCTGTCTCGAATCTGTTGCGAAACGGGATGAAATTGGGGGCAAAGGAGGATGAGAGGAGGACAGATGAGTCATTTTTGGGCCTATCTCAGAAGCTGCGCGCTCTCCTCTATCGCTCGGATCTGACGAGCTATCTCGAATCTGTTGCGAAATGAGAGGCAAATGATGGAAAGAAAGGGATGGGAGCACGGGAATCAGGGAACCACAGGAGCAGGTAGACACCACAATCTCTCAGTAGAAGCAACGAAAAAACAAGCTGTAGCAAGACAGAAAAACCACCCTGAAGCAAGACCATCAATACCAAGAGCATGTGGAGTTGAAGCAGTAGCAGGTACGTGAGTGGGGAGGGCGTGGGTGAGGTGAGAGACAGGTGAAGAAAATCACTCACCTGTCGATGCTGGGCGGCATGTGGAGGTCAAGGAGCAGGAATTGGAGCGAATGCGGAGCACAGCAGCAGCATGAAGGAGGGTTTAGAGGAGACAAACGAGCAAGGCACTCACCCGTCAATGCCCGGTGGCATGTGGAGATCAAGCAGCAGCAGGTGGATGGGCGCGGAGGAGGTTGTATCATTCGAGAGCGCCTGGAGTGCATCCTCCCCCGAGCACAGCAGCAGCACATGCGACCCGTAGCCCTGCAGCGTTCTCCTTGCCACCATGCGGTTCACCGCATTGTCATCCACCACCGCCACCGACCGCCCTGCCACCACCGCTCTCACGAACACCTCCGCCTCCTCCGCCTCCCACGGCCCCCACGCCCCCCCCGCCTCCCCCGCTGCACCCTCCACGTTCGCGCGCATCCTTGGTAGAGAGTGAGAGCGTCTTGTTTTCCGGCCTGATACTCCCACGGCACGAACCTGCCCCCCTTCCACGTCTGACTCTTCCATGTCCTCCACGCGGGAGTGGGGTTTCGGGAGCGAGTGCGAGCGTGCTGTTCGCCGCCCCACCTTTCCCACCGCTGCTACTGACTCCTCCTCCTCCTCCTCCGCCGCCGCAGCCGCCGCCGCCACGACTGCTGGCAACAACCCTTCCGCCGCCGCCACTTTTGGCGATACCCCCTCCGCCTTCCCTGCAGCCTCCAAGGCTTCGAATGTGCCGGCCCGCGGCTTGAGGTAGGAGTGAGTTCGGACTGACCGCGGCTGCCCCTCCTGCAATGGTGCCTGCTGCTGCTCGTGTTCATGCTTCTGCTGGTGCAGGGTTGCTTCATCCTGCACCTCTGGTATTGCAAAACTCGCAAATTGCTCACTCCCATTGCTGCATTCATCCCTTTCCCCACCTCTCTCCTCATCCCCCTCCCCATCCCAGCTACTGTCAGCGTCCTCCTCTCCCCCCATGGGCAGTGCTAGCAGAATGGTGGTGCCTGTGGCGGCGTCTGACAGCACTGCCATGTCTCCCCGCATCTCAGCCACCTGCCAGAAGAGAAGGGAGAATGGGGGTGGTGGGGAGAAAGGACGAAATTTGAGTCTGACTCAAAAGGACAAAACGTAAGGTGAACTGATGATTATATTGGAAATGAAGAGGGCATACATAGTTGAGCAAGAGTGGGCGTGCTGGTTGGACATTGAGGTGACTTTTGAGTCGAGTGGGCGTGCTGGTTGGACATTGAGGTGACTTTTGAGTCGAGTGGGCGTGCTGGTTGGACATTGAGGTGACTTTTGAGTCGAGTGGGCGTGCTGGTTGGACATTGAGGTGACTTTTGAGTCGAGTGGGCGTGCTGGTTGGACATTGAGGTGACTTTTGAGTCGAGTGGGCGTGCTGGTTGGACATTGAGGTGACTTTTGAGTCGAGTGGGCGTGCTGGTTGGACATTGAGGTGACTTTTGAGTCGAGTGGGCGTGCTGGTTGGACATTGAGGTGACTTTTGAGTCGAGTGGGCGTGCTGGTTGGACATTGAGGTGACTTTTGAGTCGAGTGGGCGTGCTGGTTGGACATTGAGGTGACTTTTGAGTCGAGTGGGCGTGCTGGTTGGACATTGAGGTGACTTTTGAGTCGAGTGGGCGTGCTGGTTGGACATTGAGGTGACTTTTGAGTCGAGTGGGCGTGCTGGTTGGACATTGGCCAACATTATTGGTTCCCACCAATGAGTTGGGTTGGAGAATTCTTGGGCGGCCCCAATAATGCTGGCCAAAGCTGGGCCAACAATATGGGGGGTCCAACAGCCATATGATTAGGCGAGCAGCAGTCTAAAAGAAATCTTTAGCAAAGGGCCAACAATATGGGGGGTCCAATAATCCCGAACCCAACCTTGGGGTTAAAATCTGGGTCAAAGATGGGTTCCAACTATTACCATTACCGCATTACCATTACCATTACCGCATTACCATTACCATTACCGCATTATCGTTACCATTACCGCATTACCATTACCATTACCGCATTACCATTACCATTACCGATTACCATTACCGCATTACCATTACCGCATTACCATTACCACTACCGTATTATCGTTACCATTACCGTTATCGCATTACTGTTACCACTACCATTACCGCATTACCAGTACCGTTACCTTTACCGTTACCATTACCATTACCGCATTACCATTACCATCACCGCATTATTCTTACCATTACCATTACCACATTACCATTACCATTGTGAAAACGATGGCACTCACAAGCGCGGTGGAGAGCAGGAAGCGGACGGGGTAGGGCGTCCAGCGGGGGCGAGCAGCGGACCTCTGGTCGTGCGTGAGAGCGGCTGAGGATGCGGGCCTGCTGCCCCGGCGCATGAAGGGGATGGGGAAGAATGTGCCCTAGTGGAGGGTGGAGGGTGTGGGGTGGGATGGGTGTACGGGAGAGGACAATCAAGGACGGATTGAGCACACAGGTGAAGCATTTGCGATTGGGTCACTCAGTGCCTTGTGCACGACTCTTGGCAGCGGACAAAACAAAGACTCGAGCAGTGGAAGCATTTTGTTGCGGTCTTGAAACAACAGCCCCCCTGTGTGCTGCTTTCATGCCATCCACTTACTTTGATCCCTTGGCCATCCTCTTCGTCACCATCCCCGCCAGCGGGACCAACATCACCCTCTAGTGTATGAGAAGCGGTGTGGTGGGAGTCCCCATATGGGTCCAGCACCCACCGCATCTCCTCGGGTGGTATACCACCACCTGTGTCTTCACACGCCATCACCACCATCCACTCGCCCTCCTCCCTCGCCGCACACGCCCCTTCCACCCACTCCCTCACCTCCTCCTCCAACCGCCCATGCCCACTCCCACCCTGTACCTCCTCGCCCTCCTCCCCCACACTTGCTTCATTTGACCCCCCTATGCCTGAAGCTCCCATAGCTGAAGTCCCTAGGTGCTGGAGGAAACGTGAGAGGCGGGTGATAGGTGATCCTTGAGGCGACTCAGAGGAACCGGCCGCCTTCCCTGCTCCTCTGCTGCTTGCCTTATGAGACGTCTCAAAATTCCTCCCTGCCCCTCCGCTGCTTCCCTTGTGGGACGTCTCAAAAGTCCTCCCTGTCGCTCTACTGCTTGCCTTCTGAGACGTCTCAGAAGCCGTCCCTGCCCCTCTGCTGCTTGGGGTGGCGACCAGCTGCTGATGGAGCCGCGCCAGGCGGGTGGGAGGGGGGAAGCGGCGCACACAAGCAGCCAGCTGGCGCCACGCGGAGGAGCTCGGTTGGAGGTGAGAGGAGTGGGAAGCGGTGGAGTGTGGTGGGGTACGGGAAGGAGCAGTGGTGGCAGATGCGCAGGGTAGGTTGAAGCAACTGGATGAGGCTTGTGGGGCAGGCGGGGGGGGAATGCAGCAGACTTGGAAGGCCACGCGATCACCAGCAGCGTTGGACATGGCGTGGACTGCAGGGGAGAGGGGGGTGCCGGAAGGGTGGTGTGTGGTGCATAGGTGTTTAGTAGTTTTTTCTGTTCTTTCAAGCACGTTTGGTAGGTCTTGTTTGGTACTAAGTATAAATGTGTTACTAAAGCTTATGTATAGTATTCAGTTTAAGTGCGTTACATACTAAGTATTTGTGCATCAAGCTCTTCAATTACTTGTTTTTGAGTCGTGTCAATCCAGCACGCACCTGTGAGCTCCTGAACAACTTGTGCCAGGCGAGTCGGGTTTTGAGTCGACTCGGAACTCACACACCGGTGAGCCGTGTTTTGAGTCGACTCAAAACACGGCTCATTTCACGCAGGCACGCACCTGTGAGCTCCTGAATGACTTGCGCCAGACGAGTTGGATCCCCCATGAGGACATCCGGCACACTCTCCTCCACGTGGCATGTCACTGCAGCACACAGCAGGTACAGGAAGCCCACAGCACAAGCACAACAGGATACGCCAATGAGTGTGCAAGAATGCATAGATTCCACAGCACAACCTCCAATAGGGCACATCAGTCATCAATAAGTGTGTACGGGAGAGGGAACTGGTGTCCATCATACGGAACCGGCGTCCATCAGGCCACTCATACCTTGCGGATCGTCTATTGATGCACCCGATTCAACACGTGCGATTGCCTCGTGAACAATGCCACGCAGCCAGCAGGGGAGAGTCTCGAGCTGCAGCCTGCCGGCCTGCAGCTTGGCAAGGTCCAGCACTCGGTTGATGAGCTCCACCGTCTCGCCCGCACACGCCCTCGCCACCCTTAGGTCCTCACACTGCCACTCTTCCAGTTGAGACTCTAGCAGCTCTTCTATCATGCCTGCACAGGAGGGGAGGGGGGGAACATGTGTGAAGACCCTCACACATGGAAGAACACTCACACATGTATGAACACTCTCAAACATGTGTGAACACTTTCACACATGCATTAACACCATTACAAATGTATGAACTGTCAGAAGACCTGCACTTGAGATCCCCGATTGATCTTAGAGAAGGATTACAGGCTTAGAGCCTGGCGGTTATGGGGGCACTCACCAACTACTTAACATGTTTTTTTATCCAAGTGGTATAATGGTTGAGATTCTGTCATGGTATCAGAGCGAAGGTATCGAGTTCGTTTTTTTTTTTTGCACACATGCTGGCGCCCATGAGTCGCCGCCGCTGTGCCGTACCCTAGGGCATCGTAGTGAAGAGGGGTGTCCGAAAACTTGCACTGGAGATCCCGGATTGATTCTAGAGAAGATTTACAGGTTCATAACTTATGGGTTATGGGCGCACTCATCCGCTACTTAACAAGTCATTCTATCCCAGTGATATAATGGCTGTGATTTTGACATGAACATCCTCACACATGTATGAACACCCTCACACATGTATGAACACCCTCACACATGTATGAACACTCTCACACATGTAACTAATATGTCTGTCCCCAAACATACATGTCCACCCTCTCTCCCTCACCTATCACGCCAATGAGTGGAGTGCGCAGCTCTCGCGACGTGTTGGCCACTGTCTCGCTCTTGGACTTCTCAGCCTGCTCCAGCGTCTTTTGAGGCGCCTCAAAAGCTCACACACACATGTTCTCTCTCACACACACATGCTCTCTCTCACACACACACGTTCTCTCTCACACACACATACTCTCTCACACACACATGTTCTCTCTCACACACACATATTTTCTCTCACACACACACGTTCTCTCTCACACGCACACATTCTCTCTCACACACACACGTTCTCTCTCACACGCACAAGTTCTCTCTCACACACATATACACACCCTCCCTTCCTCACCTATCACGCCAATGAGTGGCGTGCGCAGCTCATGGGACGTGTTGGCCACCGTCTCGCTCTTGGACTTCTCAGCTCTCTCCAGCGCCACCGTACACATCTGCATCTCTCTCAACCCCTCCACCATCTGCCGCCGCTTCCATGCCAGCACGGCGATCACGAGGGAAACCAGCACGGCCAACACCAGCACCAGCAGACCCAACAGAATGGGAGCAACAACCAGCTCCCACTTGGGGTAGGGGCCTTCGAACCTGCGTGCATTGGGTTGGCATTCATGAGAAGGAGATAGACTTCATATGTATGAGACGAGCTGACAGCAGCACGGCCACCAGCAGCACCAACAGGCCCAGCAGCTGGGGGCATAGACTAGGTCCCACTTGGGGTAGGGGCCTTCGAACCTGCGTGCATTTAGATTCATGGGGAGGTGGGAGAGACATGCATGCTTCATGCGAATGAGACAGATTTCATCCATGCTTTTTGAGGCGCCTCAGAAACCGCTTCCATGCCAGCACAGCACGGCAATCACAGTGGAGAAAAACATTCCCCCCAGCAGCACCAGCAGCACCAGTAGCACCAGTAGCAGCACCAGCAACACCAGTAGCACCAGCAGCAGCACCAGCAGCAGCAGTAGCACCAGCAGCAGCACCAGCATCACCTACAGTGCCTCATACTTGCGTTGCGACCCAGAAGGTCCTCAGGAAAAGGCTCAGCGTGCTTGGGGTGCGGCACCACAGGCCCCGGCACGGCAGCACTACGGAGTAGAGGGTGCCACTCTCCACCCACAGGGAGAAAAGCCCTCCTCACCTGCAGTGCGCCTCGTACTTGCGACCCAGCAGGTCCTCAGGGAAGGGCTCGATGTGCTTGGGACCCGGCACGACAGGGCCACGCAGCAAATAGAGGCATAAGGTGCCACTCTCCATCCTCACCTCCTCCTCGCCTCACCTGCAGTGCGCCTCGTACTTGCGACCCAGCAGGTCCTCAGGGAAGGGCTCGATGTGCTTGGGGTGCGGCACCACAGGCCCCGGCAGCACGTAGGGGTAGAGGGACCCACTCTCCAGCTTGACTGGATCCGGGCCGAGCACCTGAATGGGCTGCTGCGGATCTGTGGTGTCGTACATGGCGATGGAATAGGCGCTCGCGCTGCTGCCTGCATGCCACCACACACACACACACACACACACACACACACACACACACACACACACACACACACACATACACACACACACACTCAGACACAAACACAGACACACACACACACACACAGACACACACACACACTCAGACACAGACACACACAGACACACACACACAGACACACACAGACACAGACACAGACACAGACACACACACACACACACACACACACACACACACACACACACACACACACACACACACGTACACGTTCATGGAAAGCAGAGAGGGCACATGAGGCCTTTGAATCGAGTCAAGAGCACTTGAATGGGCTGCTCCGGGCCAGTGGTGTCGTCCAGGAAGGAGCGAGTCGGAGCACACTTTATGAGCCTTTTATGAGGGCAAAGGGCAGCGGTGGGCACGAGGGGGAGAGGGCAGTGTTGGGGAGGAGGGCAGCAATGGGGAGCGATCAAATCTGTATGAAGTAGCTTGAAGGCCCCTTGTTCGTGTCACTTTTGAGAAACGAGGGCAGTGGTGATAGCGACGGGATTGATCGAGTTGTAAGAAAGCATGTCGAGGACGGCATGCAGGTGAATCTCTAGTCAGGAGAGGTCTGTTTGTGCCACGAAAAGGGTCCGTTGATAGGCCCAACGGCAGTGATGGAATCGAGGGCAGCGTGGGGGAAGGGCTCAAACCGTTGGAAAGCAGAGTGAGGACGGCTTGTAGCTCGCGCTCTAAATAGGACAGGTCTGTTTGCCGCAAAAGGTTGGTTGATAGGGTAAAACGCAGTGATGGAAACGAGGACAGATGGCAGTGTTGGGAAGATGGGCAGCGTTGGGGCAGTGACCGAACGAACCGTTAGATAGCATGTCGAGGACGGCTGTAGCTCGCGCTCTAGATAGGAGAGGTCGGCACATGCAGTGACACTCACACTCTCCCCGGGTAGCAAAGGTCTGTTTTGTGTCACGTGCATGAAGCAATATGAGGGGCGTTATGAGTGCGAACCGTTAGATAGCATGTCGAGGACGGCTTGTAGCTCGCGCTCTAGATAGGACAGGTCGGCCCATGCAGTGGCGCTCACACTCTCCCTCCGCTGCTCCGGTGATGCGTTCTCAGGGACGGGATGGCGCAGGATAGGCACCACTATCACTGCAGCAGGTAGGGATGCATGCATGGATGGGGGCACACGGATGGGGGCACGCGGATGGAAGGCTGGATGCTGGCACACGGAGACACGGCTACGGATAGGAGAGGTCCGCCCACGCGGTGCGGCTCACCCTCTCCGTCCGCTGCTCCGGTGATGCGTTCTCAGGGATGGGATGGCGCAGGATAGGGACACCGATCACTGCATGCAGGGCAGGAAGAATGGATGGAAGGATGGGGTGATGGCATGGAATGATGGCGCAGCCTAAGCGCAGCCGAAGCGCAGCCTAAGCGCAGCATAAGCGCAGCCTAAGCGCAGCCTAAGCGCAGCCTAAGGGCAGCCTATGCGCAGCCTAAGCGCAGCCTAAGTGCAGCCTAAGCGCAGCCTAAGTCCAGCCTAAGCTCCTCAATCGTGAGACATTTGTGGTGTAACTGCAGCTGCACTGGCGACTTTGGAGGCGACTTTTGAGGCGACTTCTGAGGCAACTTCTGAGGAGACTTCTGACCTGCTGCGCCTCCTTCCTTTCCTCCCTCAACCCTCCAGCTCCACGTGTTGACCACCACACCAGACTATGTGGCCCCTGCTTTTTAGAACCCACATCTGTACAAGCACGTGTACAAAGTGCACTTCACATTGTACAACCCACCCTCCCATAAGGACGTCTCACAGCCTCACTTTCCACACGTTTTGACCACCGGGCTATGTGGCCCCTGCTTTTTAGAACCCACCCACGAGGACGTCTCAGGCCCTCAACCCTCCAGCTACACGTTTTGACCACCGGACTATGTGGCCCCCTTCCTCTCCTTGCGTGTGTGTCAGGGGATTATGTGGCGCCCTGCTATGCTTTTAAGAGCCCACCTTTGAGAATTCTCATAAGTGGTTCCTTGCATACAACAGCCAGAGGAACCAACAGCCCATTCTCACCAGTGCCCACCTGCAGATCGCTGCTGAAAAACACAGGTGGCGAGGAGACGGCGACAGTGCCATTGAGTGTCAAGATGGGAAAACGATGGCACGGCCGGCTGACAAGTACCTAGCTTCCGAAGGTGCAAGACCCTTTGGGTTCACTTCGACGAACCTAGCTTCCACGCCCAGCTTAGCTCACCAGTGCCCACCCGCAGATCGCTGCTGAAAAACACAGGAGGCGAGGAGACGGCGTTTCCAAGGAGTATCGAGGAGAGAAGCGACTGGGGGACCATGGCGGAGAAATCAGTGAAAGCCTTGGGATTGTTGTTGGGGTATCCGGCGAGCAGGTTGACGATGTAGTGCGGCTTGCGAGGGGAGGGCAGCCCGAGAGGTGACTTGATGTCCATGCCTGTTACGCCCTCCACCAGTGCCCTGCGGAAGCAAAAGAAATAGGGGCATGGGAGAGGGAGAGAGGCGTGGTGTAAGAAGGAGACATAGGGGCATGGGAGAGGGAGAGAGGCGTGGTGTAAGAAGGAGACATAGGGGCATGGGAGAGGGAGAGAGGCGTGGTGTAAGAAGGAGACATAGGGGCATGGGAGAGGGAGAGAGGCGTGGTGTAAGAAGGAGAAATAGGGGCATGGGAGAGGGAGAGAGGCGTGGTGTAAGAAGGAGATATAGGGGCATGGGAGAGGGAGAGAGGCGTGGTGTAAGAAGGAGACATAGGGGCATGGGAGAGGGAGAGAGGCGTGGTGTAAGAAGGAGACATAGGGGCATGGGAGAGGGAGAGAGGCGTGGTGTAAGAAGGAGATATAGGGGCATGGGAGAGGGAGAGAGGCGTGGTGTAAGAAGGAGACATAGGGGCATGGGAGAGGGAGAGAGGCGTGGTGTAAGAAGGAGACATAGGGGCATGGGAGAGGGAGAGAGGCGTGGTGTAAGAAGGAGACATAGGGGCATGGGAGAGGGAGAGAGGCGTGGTGTAAGAAGGAGATATAGGGGCATGGGAGAGGGAGAGAGGCGTGGTGTAAGAAGGAGACATAGGGGCATGGGAGAGGGAGAGAGGCGTGGTGTAAGAAGGAGATATAGGGGCATGGGAGAGGGAGAGAGGCGTGGTGTAAGAAGGAGACATAGGGGCATGGGAGAGGGAGAGAGGCGTGGTGTAAGAAGGAGACATAGGGGCATGGGAGAGGGAGAGAGGCGTGGTGTAAGAAGGAGAAATAGGGGCATGGGAGAGGGAGAGAGGCGTGGTGTAAGAAGGAGATATAGGGGCATGGGAGAGGGAGAGAGGCGTGGTGTAAGAAGGAGATATAGGGGCATGGGAGAGGGAGAGAGGCGTGGTGTAAGAAGGAGACATAGGGGCATGGGAGAGGGAGAGAGGCGTGGTGTAAGAAGGAGACATAGGGGCATGGGAGAGGGAGAGAGGCGTGGTGTAAGAAGGAGACATAGGGGCATGGGAGAGGGAGAGAGGCGTGGTGTAAGAAGGAGATATAGGGGCATGGGAGAGGGAGAGAGGCGTGGTGTAAGAAGGAGACATAGGGGCATGGGAGAGGGAGAGAGGCGTGGTGTAAGAAGGAGACATAGGGGCATGGGAGAGGGAGAGAGGCGTGGTGTAAGAAGGAGATATAGGGGCATGGGAGAGGGAGAGAGGCGTGGTGTAAGAAGGAGATATAGGGGCATGGGAGAGGGAGAGAAGCGTGGTGTAAGGAGACATAGGGGCATGGGAGAGGGAGAAAGGCGTGGTGTAAGAAGGAGACATAGGGGCATGGGAGAGGGAGAGAGGCGTGGTGTAAGAAGGAGACATAGGGGCATGGGAGAGGGAGAGAGGCGTGGTGTAAGAAGGAGACATAGGGGCATGGGAGAGGGAGAGAGGCGTGGTGTAAGAAGGAGAAATAGGGGCATGGGAGAGGGAGAGAGGCGTGGTGTAAGAAGGAGATATAGGGGCATGGGAGAGGGAGAGAGGCGTGGTGTAAGAAGGAGACATAGGGGCATGGGAGAGGGAGAGAGGCGTGGTGTAAGAAGGAGGCATAGGGGCATGGGAGAGGGAGAGAGGCGTGGTGTAAGAAGGAGATATAGGGGCATGGGAGAGGGAGAGAGGCGTGGTGTAAGAAGGAGACATAGGGGCATGGGAGAGGGAGAGAGGCGTGGTGTAAGAAGGAGATATAGGGGCATGGGAGAGGGAGAGAGGCGTGGTGTAAGAAGGAGACATAGGGGCATGGGAGAGGGAGAGAGGCGTGGTGTAAGAAGGAGACATAGGGGCATGGGAGAGGGAGAGAGGCGTGGTGTAAGAAGGAGACATAGGGGCATGGGAGAGGGAGAGAGGCGTGGTGTAAGAAGGAGACATAGGGGCATGGGAGAGGGAGAGAGGCGTGGTGTAAGAAGGAGATACAGGGGCATGGGAGAGGGAGAGAGGCGTGGTGTAAGAAGGAGACATAGGGGCATGGGAGAGGGAGAGAGGTGTGGTGTAAGAAGGAGACATAGGGGCATGGGAGAGGGAGAGAGGCGTGGTGTAAGAAGGAGATATAGGGGCATGGGAGAGGGAGAGAGGCGTGGTGTAAGAAGGAGATATAGGGGCATGGGAGAGGGAGAGAGGCGTGGTGTAAGAAGGAGACATAGGGGCATGGGAGAGGGAGAGAGGCGTGGTGTAAGAAGGAGATATAGGGGCATGGGAGAGGGAGAGAGGCGTGGTGTAAGAAGAAGACATAGGGGCATGGGAGAGGGAGAGAGGCGTGGTGTAAGAAGGAGGCATAGGGGCATGGGAGAGGGAGAGAGGCGTGGTGTAAGAAGGAGATATAGGGGCATGGGAGAGGGAGAGAGGCGTGGTGTAAGAAGGAGACATAGGGGCATGGGAGAGGGAGAGAGGCGTGGTGTAAGAAGGAGACATAGGGGCATGGGAGAGGGAGAGAGGCGTGGTGTAAGAAGGAGACATAGGGGCATGGGAGAGGGAGAGAGGCGTGGTGTAAGAAGGAGATATAGGGGCATGGGAGAGGGAGAGAGGTGTGGTGTAAGAAGGAGACATAGGGGCATGGGAGAGGGAGAGAGGCGTGGTGTAAGAAGGAGATATAGGGGCATGGGAGAGGGAGAGAGGCGTGGTGTAAGAAGGAGATATAGGGGCATGGGAGAGGGAGAGAGGCGTGGTGTAAGAAGGAGACATAGGGGCATGGGAGAGGGAGAGAGGCGTGGTGTAAGAAGGAGACATAGGGGCATGGGAGAGGGAGAGAGGCGTGGTGTAAGAAGGAGACATAGGGGCATGGGAGAGGGAGAGAGGCGTGGTGTAAGAAGGAGATATAGGGGCATGGGAGAGGGAGAGAGGTGTGGTGTAAGAAGGAGACATAGGGGCATGGGAGAGGGAGAGAGGCGTGGTGTAAGAAGGAGATATAGGGGCATGGGAGAGGGAGAGAGGCGTGGTGTAAGAAGGAGATATAGGGGCATGGGAGAGGGAGAGAGGCGTGGTGTAAGAAGGAGACATAGGGGCATGGGAGAGGGAGAGAGGCGTGGTGTAAGAAGGAGACATAGGGGCATGGGAGAGGGAGAGAGGCGTGGTGTAAGAAGGAGACATAGGGGCATGGGAGAGGGAGAGAGGCGTGGTGTAAGAAGGAGACATAGGGGCATGGGAGAGGGAGAGAGGCGTGGTGTAAGAAGGAGATATAGGGGCATGGGAGAGGGAGAGAGGCGTGGTGTAAGAAGGAGATATAGGGGCATGGGAGAGGGGGAGAGGCGTGGAGTAAGAACCCAAGCACGTACCAGCGCTCACTCACTCACACCCAAGCCCGCCCACCCGTCGCTATACTCCATGAGCATGACGAGCGTCCCTAGGGTGCGGTCCGCCAGGCCCATAACAGCAGCACGCACTCACTCACTCACACCCACACTCACAACCACACACACACCCACACACACACCCACACACACACCCACCCACACACCCACACTCCTATCAGTATCCTCCACGAGCATGACGAGCGTCCCCAGGGTGAGGTCCGCCAGGCCCATGGCAGAGGTAGCATTGTATTGTAGCGCACACACACATACACATGCACACATACACACACACACATACACACACACACATACACACAGACATACACACACACACACATATACACACACATACACACACATACACACACACACATACAAACACACACACACATACACACACACACACACATACACACACACACATACACACACACACACATACACACACACACACATACACACACACACACATACACACACACACATACACACACACATACACACACACACACAAATACAAACACACACACATACACACACACATACACACACACATACACACACACACACGTACACACACACACATACACACACACTGTCACTCTCACAAAACACACACACACACACTGTCACACTCACAAAACACACACACACACACTGTCACACTCACAAGACGCACACACACACACACACACCCACACACTGTCACACTCACAAGACGCACACACACACACACACACACACACACACACACACACACACACCCACGCACCTGTCAGTATCCTCTACGAGCATGACGAGCGTCCCCAGGGTGAGGTCCGCCAATCCCCGCCCATGTTAGAGGTGGCAGCAGTGTAGTGCGCCAGGCTGGCGTTATTGGGACACCCCACCACACTTAACCCCCCCACACCCACCCACACACCTGTCAGTATCCTCTACGAGCATGACGAGCGTCCCTAGGGTGAGGTCCGCCAGGCCCATGGCAATGGTGGCATCTTTGTAGCGAGACGGTGGTAGCATTGTAGCGCACACACACATACACTGTCACACACACTGTCACACACACTGTCACACACACTGTCACATACACTGTCACACACACTGTCACATACACTGTCACACACACTGTCACACACACTGTCACACACACTGTCACATACACTGTCACACACACTGTCACACACACTGTCACACACACTGTCACATACACTGTCACACACACTGTCACATACACTGTCACACACACTGTCACACACACTGTCACATACACTGTCACACACACTGTCACATACAGTGTCACACACACTGTCACATACACTGTCACACACACTGTCACATACACTGTCACACACACTGTCACACACACTGTCACACACACTGTCACATACACTGTCACACACACTGTCACACACACTGTCACATACACTGTCACATACACTGTCACACACACTGTCACATACACTGTCACATACACTGTCACATACACTGTCACATACACTGTCACACACACTGTCACACACACTGTCACATACACTGTCACACACACTGTCACACACACTGTCACATACTCTGTTACACACACTGTCACACACACTGTCACATACACTGTCACGCACACCTGTCAGTATCCTCTACGAGCATGACGAGCGTCCCCAGGGTGAGGTCCCCCAGGCCCATGGCAATGGTGGCATCTTTATAGCGAGACAGGCTGGCGTTATTAGCACACCCCTCCACGCCCCAGTAGGTCAGGTTGGTGGAGCTGCGCGGGCCGTATCCGTTCAGCACGCGCAGCAGTGCTGACATCTCCTGCTCACACACACGCAAGATGGAACGAGAGGGGTTATCAGTTGACTCAAATTACATCTCCTGCTCGCACACGATCACGCACACACCCCGCCACGCCCCAGTAAGTCAGGTTGGTGGAGCTGCACGGGCCGTACCCGTTCAGCACGCGTAACAATGCCGACATCTCCTGCACGCACGCAATAAACACACATAACGAGTTAGCAAGGCCTGCGCACACTCGCCACACCACACCCCAGTAGGTCAGGTTGGTGGAGCTGCGCGGGCCGTACCCGTTCAGCACGCGCAACAGCGCCGAAATCTCCTGCTCACACACACGCGCGCGCGCGCGCGCACGCAACGAGTTGAGCAAGGGCGGTGGGAAGAGCGCGGTTTGAGCAAACGCGGGTGGGAAGGGCGCGACTGGGAAGGGCGCGGGTTGAGCAAACGCGTGTGGAAAGGGCGCGGGTCAGTGCAATCGCGCCGTCAGCTCTTCCCTCCGCCGTCAGCTCTTCCCTCCGCCGTCAGCTTTCCCCCCGCCGTCAGCTTTCCCTCCGCCGTCAGCTTTCCGAGCGTCTCAAGCGCGTTGCGCGACGGAGAGAGCTCCAGGGCGCCGGAGGATTGTCGCTGTCCGTCGTGTCGCAGTAGTGGACGGCGGAGCAAGCGCCGCGCGGAGTGCATATCGCGTGGAGCAAGCGCCGCGCGGATACTTTCCGAAACTCAAAACCGATCTTGTCTGTGTCTTGCTATCGCCTGCGCGGAACGCTCCGTGCGGCGTCGCTCTGTCCCGCGTCGCTCCGTCACGCGTCGCTCCGTCACGCGTCGCTCTGTGCGGCGTCGCTCTGTCACGCGCCGCTCTGTGCGGCGTCGCTCCGTCACGCGTCGCTCTGTCACGTGTCGCTCTGTGCGGCGTCGCTCTGTCACGCGTCGCTCTGTGCGGCGTCGCTCCGTCACGCGTCGCTCTGTGCGGCGTCGTTCTGTCGCGCGTCGCTCTGTGCGGCGACGCTCCGTTGTGCGTCGCGCTGTGGGCAGTCACTGCACGTCGTTAGTCGCCGTGCGTCGCTACGCATCGCTATGGATCGCTACGCGTCGCTATGGGTTGCTACGCATCGCTATGCATCGCTGCGGGTCACTACGCGTCGCTACGGGTCGCTACGCGTCGCTATGGGTCGCTACGCGTCGCTATGGGTCGCTATGCGTCGCTATGGGTCGCTATGGGTTGTTATGGGTCGATATGCATCGCAATGCGTCGCATTGGCAGCGCACCTGCACGCGCGAGACGGACGAGAGCAGGCGCTGGTAGAGGTAGCGCACGCGCAAGTGGCACCACCCGCGCATCGCCTCCTCCCGCGGATTGGCGGCCTCGATGTGCGCGAACCACACCACCCACGCGCACAGCCCCGCCCATCCCGCCACCCACACCGCCCCCAGCAGCGCCCTCCCCACGCCCCACGGCGCGCCCCGTGACGAAAGGCGCCTCGGCCTGCGCATTATACGTCTGCAACTTGGATTCAGGGAGAATACCCGTGAACAGTGAAGTGATGAGATCATGAAGAAAGGCGGGAGGGACTCACGCGGAAAATATCGAGGGTTGGGGCTGGTGAATCACGGTTCGAAGTGTTGACGTCGAAAACCCGTTTCAAACCACACAGCATTGTACTCAACCGCTTGGAGCGAATTGAAAGTGAACTTGCGTGACGCGAAGAGTCTTCGGTTTACTTCGGTTCGCATAGTGTTGCTTGGGGTTTTCTGGGTTGGTGTTTGGAAATAACCAGGCCGGGAGGGAATGGGGGGGGGGGGGGGGGGGGGGAGTCAGGTACAGATGCTTGGTTGTCTCAGGGCGCGTGTCCTTGGTGGGCCAGGTTCAAATTCGAGTTTGAGTTTTGAGTGGTTTCCGGTTTCGCCGACATCAGCAAGATGGTTCACGAGATTCGTGAAAACAGCGGCGGAAGGTGGAACCGAATGTGGAATACGAACACCGGTCGACTTTATGGCCGAACGTGGGCCCGCACGAATTTGTGAACGTGTGTCCTTCTGACCGCGTTCATGGCTGCAGCGAAATTGGCGACACTGACGAAAATCGTCGTGCGCTATTTCTAGGCCGCTCTGTTCCGTGTCGACCAGTGACGACGTGATTCACTGTCAAGAACCCAGACAGGGTAACCTACGAGACGGGTACGCGACGCGAGCAATGCTGTAGAAAGTCGAGTTCGATAATCGGGCTCTCGATGTCACATTTGCTTGACTGGAAATTTGCAGGGCGGCTCGGCTATCGAGAGTTGTAATATTCCACTACAGTTCGAACCTATTTCCAACTATAAAAACTCGAGTCTAAAAAGCAAACTTTACAAATACAAACTGATGCCTGATTGAGCCCCTCCCGGTTGCCTTGTGAAGGGGGCGTATAAGCTGTATCGTGCGTTTCGCATAAGTTCGTCAATTTCGCAGCTAGCTAAAAAGAATTCGCATGTGCTTATAAACAAGACTCTGCTACCTATTTACCTAGTTTGACTTCAGTCTCTTCTGCTTGACTTCGGTCTCTTCTGCTTGACGCGCTTGTAATGTGGGTGCATGAAGCTGGGGAAACAACCTCGGGTGCAGCGTGTCCATCCGGCGCAAGGCGAATTCGCGCGCATGGGGTGAGCATCAGCTGTATTGCCGAAGGACACACGCCCCTAGATTGGACAATTGCTGCAGCTGAGCTAGTGGGCCACCAGTGCGGACCAGCGGCTACGGCATACACCAGCAACAGTTCTGTAAAGTGTAAGCTGAAAATTTCCCACCAAGTCTGACCTGGACCGCGACAAAGATCCCAGCGGAATCAGGTCGACGGACCCGAGTTGCCAGGGTCGACGAGGGGGGTCGTCGAAGCCTGGGCTGACCGGGCGGAGCACTGACGCGCGTGCGGGCCCGCCAGCCTGGCCCAGGGCTGGGCCGAGCGCACGACCGCCGCCCCGCGGCCCCGCCCCGAACGTGAACAGCGGCCCACGTTACCGGGTGGGGTCGGCGAACTGGCAACAGCTCGCGCGTGGGAAAATTACCCTCGCGCGAAGGCAGCCCACGCGCGCCATCTGCCCGCGAGGTCCTAGTAACCCATCGCGGCCTGCCCGGACGGGCAGGCGAGGGCCGGGCGAAAAGTCGGGGCCCCCTCGGGACACTCGACAACTTCGCGACCCGTTGCGGCGACGCCACGTGTTCGCCCGCCTGCTTCGCATCGGGCAACATGCAGAATTTGATACATTGCGAATTCAATTCGGGACATCGCGAATTCGATGTCGATCGCTTCGCGGCGCACGTTTTTCGCTTCGGGGCGTGACATCGACTTGCTGGCTCGGCGGCGAATGAGGACTTGTGCCACTTGTGCACGACCCCGCCAAACCCCGCCGAGGCAGGCACCACGAGGGCCGGGCGATGCCTCGACCGTTCCTGTGGGGCACCAACCCCCCCCCCCCCCCTTTTCTTGGTGGAAGGGGGCATCGCTCCTCATTTTCGGCATCTCGTTTCCCTTTCCACCTTTTCCCCAGCTCTGCGCCTTCTCCCACATTTCACGTCCCTTAGCCGCTTCCCTTCCCCGCCATGTCGGCCGCCCCGAAACTCGGCTAAGTGACGCCGACTTCGCAGGACTTCCCTCTGTATCTCTACCTGGGCAGTGGACTCACTGCCAAGCTCGACGAACACGACTACGCCGTCCTCGTAGACCATAGGCTAGAGTTCAACGCCCGTTGCTTGGGATTCGGCCTCAAGTGAGTGCCCGTATTGGGATGTCGACGTCGACCGCTGGATACCTTGCAGGTCGACGCCGATAGGGTTGTCCCATGTTAGGGTTTAGATCACTACTCAGTGACGCACGCAGCCGTAGGTAGGCATCGTACTCCGATCACTACAGTAGGTCGGTGCCCGCATCGGTAGGCGCCATTGATTACAACGTAGCGACGGTGGTGCACCGTTCTACTCTAGCCATCCCCGTCCGTTGTCGGTTCCAGAACCCACGTGTCCATCCGTCGTGCCGTGCACGTCCTCAAACACATCTACTACCCATGCATGCGTGCAGGTACGCATGGATTCGCGCGGCGCCGCCCAACATGCGATTGTGGTCGATAGGACTCGGCCGGCTTCGGGCGGCGATGGGCAAGGAGGACCACTCATGCTTTGCAACGGTGTTCGACGGCGACGTAGCTGTTATCCCTTTGCATTCGAGGTGAGCCGAAGTCATGATGGTGTGCCATGATGCCTATGTTGCTGCTCCGTTCTGATCGACGTCGTGGTGCCTAGCCTGTGCAGCATCGCACCGCTTCCAGGGGCACATTGCAGCGTCGTGGTCATCCTGTACCCCGGCGACTTGTTGCGGGCCGGGGGAGAGACGATCAGGACCTCTGTCCGGCACTTCAACCCGCAAACCGTGAAGCAGTGGCACCGCGACGAGGCGATCCGCGTGCTGAAGTGAGCTCGATAGTGTAGCCGACGACGCATGCAATTTCGCCGCTGGGCGTTAAGCAAGTCTACTGACGACCTGTGCCATGTTGCTTCAGGTTTTTCCGGGCGGCGGTGCTGGCCGAGCTCGGCCGCGATGGCCGGCAGTGGGAGTGGCCGAAGCCTTCTGCTGAAGAGGTGGCGGCCAGGCTCGCCGACTGCGATGAACCCGTTCGAGATGTGAGTACCGATCGTTTTACCGTCCTAGCGCGATGCCATCGCCGCCGTCGGTGCTCATCCTTGCTCTCTGCTCTGTTGTTTGCAGAAAATGCGCGACACCGTCCGGGACAGCGACGCCGGCTCTGGCCTCCTATCAATGAGCGCGCTGTGCTGGGTGGTGAAGAGGATGGATCGCCTTACCGGCGACGACCGTCGCAGTGCGACCAGCATGGACAAGGTCCTCGTTTCGGGGTTGAAGGAGCAGCGGATTCGGATGATGACATACATCAAGGAACACGTCGCACGCAGACGGTCAGGCCATGTCGGAGTTGGTGCCGATGCCTGTGATGACGACGCCGAGGAGCCCCCTTCGGCATCCCAAGCAGTCGGTGTCGCCGACACCAGCGGAGAGGCCGGAGACGGCGTCGACAAGGCAGATGAGGAGGCAGAAAGGGCTGTGGCGAGGACAGCGGATCAGGAAAAGGAGGAGGAGGAGGATGACACCGACGATCAGGATGATAACGAGGAGGATCGTGAGGAGCGTGAGCAGGGGCATGGGCAGGAGGAGGAGGAGGAGGAGGAGGAGGAGGAGGAGGAGGAGGAGGAGGAGGAGGAGGAGGAGGAGGAGGAGGAGGAGGAGGAGGAGGACGAGGAGGAGGGGGATGAGGAGGAGGATGAGGCGGACAAGGAGGCGGCGGCGGCGGAGGCCGTGGAGCAAAGTTTCGGGTCGGTGGAGCAGGTGGCGGAGGGGGAGAAGCAGCAAGAGGGGGAGGAGGAGGTAGAGTTCCCCTGGGTCGAATTCGATGCGGAGGATGTTGAGGGAGCGGCGGCGGTGGCCGTGGAGGGAGCGGCGGCGGCCGTGGAGGGAACGGGTGGGATGTCGGCGGATGTTGTGTACGTGCGAGGGGAGGGTGCCGATGCGGAGAATGTCGGCGTGGAGGAGGCGCACGTGGTCGGCAATGTGGTTGGCGACGCGAAGGAGGAGGATAACGTCGCGGCCCCGACGCCGACGGGCGTGGAGACCACCACAGGGAACGCAGGGGTGGAACGCCGGGGTGGAGCGGTAGAGGCGGGCCGTCAACCGGGTTCCTCAGCAGCTGGTCGGCAGGCAACGCCGGCCGTCGTCGCGCAGCTGCGACAGGAGAACATGTGGCTGAGGGCAGAAAATGCTCGACTCGAGACGGCGCTCGGAGTGGAGAGGGGTCGGGTGGACAGGTTCGTGATGGGGATTGGCCACCTCGTGGACAAGCTCAGGTCGTTGGCCGACCAGGTCGCCGCCTCCGACCAGGACGCGTCGAGTTGGCTGATGGACGCGTCCTTGACCATGGTGACGACCGTGACGGAGAACATCACCGCCAACATGGGTGAAGCATGGGAGGCGATGAAGGCGTACGCCGAGAGGGCGGAGAGCTGGTTGGACGATCTAGAGAATCCGGAGGGGTTTGTGGCGGTGCAACGTGCGAACGCGGTCGTCGCCCTGGGCAACCACGTGGACGAAGCGAGGAAGGGATTGGAGGAATACATATCGAAGCACCTAGTCGCCGCGCAGACCAACATCGCCGCCGCGGTAACTCAACGCGTCGCCGTCCCGCCGCCCACGCAGCCCGCCCCACCGCCAGCCATCCCGGACGAGCTCATGAAGTCTTTCAAGGCGGACGTGTTGAAGGCGGTGACTGAGGCCACCCAGCAGTCGTTTGCTGCGTCCGGGTTAAACCTCATGACCCAGGTGATCGGCCATCTGGCGCCTGGTCGGCATGCGTCGTCGCCGTCGGACAACGAGGCCGACAAGAAGGGTGCGAAAAGGGCGGGCGGCGGAGATGATGCGTTGAGCTCGAAGCAGAGCAAGGGAGCCGATGGGAGCCGCGGCGTCGGCCAGGCGGGTCCAGGCGGCTCGCGGGGCAAGGGAGCCGATGGGAGCGGAGGTACGAGCGTGGTCGACCCGCTGAAGAAGAACGGGGCCAAGGTGATAAGGACGCACAGCAAGGGCGATGGAATCAGGAGTGCGGAGGGGGGCCCTGCCGACCAGGTTGCCGCTCAAGAGGTTGGACCAACAGCCCCGCCATTGGTCGCCGAGAAGCCGGCCAGTCTAGCGACCGCACCAACGGCGATAGATGGCGGCGCCAAAACCGTCAAGGGACCGTCCGTCGGAGTGGCGGGGACCACGTCAATCCCCCGCAAACCCCCTGCGGCTAGCAGCGCGCCGGTCGCCCCGTCAGCCGCCAACAACGATGGGCCGTCCCTTGCGGCTACTCCAGCACAAGCAGGCACGTCTGCCGCCAAGGTTGACGCGGTGGATGCTGCGGCTAACTGCGCTGGTCCGTCCGCCCCAAAGGCGAACGCGCTCAGGGAGATGCTCGGCCGCATGGAGACCCATCGACAGGACGTGCAGCAGCCTCCCGTGGTCGGTACCGCGCCGGCCACAACAGCACGTCGCTCGGTCACTCCCCAGGTCGCCGCCACAACGTCCAGTGCCCCACCTAGCGCGCCTATCATCGCCGCCCGTCCTCCTGTGGACCCAAAGTCCGCGTTGCTTCGCGCCCGGTTAGGCGCACGTATTGCGGCTGCGCCAGCACGGGCTCAGCCGGTATCCAGCTCATGCGCGTCGCCGACGTCGGTGACCGTAGCTGCACACACACTTGGTGCGGCTACTATCGAGGCGGTGGCGGAGAAGGGCGTGAGTGCAGCGCTAGCCACGGGCAGCAGATCAGTTGACCCTGCACAGGCGGCGAAGGACCACAACGACGCCGATATCGCTGCCATCCAGGACCTGTTGGAAGCGGTAAACCGCCCCAAGCAGCCCCCTGTGCTGGCCATCTTGGACTCGGCGAGTCCCACCGGCTGTACAGCGGAGCCAAAGACGACCACTGCTGCGGTCGGAGCGAGAAAGTCGAAACGGAAGGGGACGGTCGACGCAGGGAAAGCGAGGCCGAGCTCGAAGAAGAAAACACGGGCGACATCAGCGATGGTGAAGTCGGTGCAGAAAGGACAGGGGATGTCGACGGCGATGTTGGAGAAGGAGAAGGAGGAGGAGATGGAGAAGGAGGAGAAGGAGAAGGAGAAGAAGGAGGAGAAGGAGAAGGAGAAGGAGGAGAAGGAGAAGGAGGAGAAGGAGAAGGAGAAGAAGGAGGAGGAGGAGAAGGAGAAGGAGGAGAAGGAGAAGGAGAAGGAGGAGGAGGAGGAGAAGGTGGAGGAGGCGGAGGTGGGGGAGGAGGAGAAGGAGAAGGAGGAGGAGGAGAAGGAGGAGGAGGAGGAGGAGAAGAAGCTGGAGGAGGAGGAGGCGGCGATGGAGGAGGAGAAGGTGAAGGTGAAAGTGAAAGAACGGAAGGGTCATGGCATCCGCCACGACACCACGGGCGACAAGCAAGGGTGGGTGGGCGAGATTAAGGTGGTCGGGAACGAGAGCAGATACATCGGCAAGTCCCGCGACAAGATGGAGCTGGCGTACCTTCACTCGATTGTGTACCTCCTGTACGACGGTTACGTCAGCAAGATCCTCATGGCCGAGCTCACCGGCTTGGAGGAAACAGTGATGAAGCAGTGGAGGGCGGTGTGGAAGGAAGTCCGGTTCTTGCCGACTGGGATGTGGACGGTGATATGGGCACGGGGCGCGTTCCTCCCCAAGACACGGTAAGTCGGATAAACGTCGGCCAAGCTATGATGTCGACGTCGGCGTTCCTAACGGCCAGTTTCGTGTGATTGCGTGACAGGTTCGATGATATCCTCGGGAAGTATCGAGCGTACAAGACATCAGGCGATGCGCACCACGATGCGCTTTTGCCCGCGATCTGGTTCCCCGTCGATGCCGACAAGTCGGATGCAATGATGTCGGCCATGATTGATCGCGTGTCCATGTGCGCGGCGTATGGGATGGTCGCTGCATCCGCGGCGAGAATGGAGGGCGACACGGATCAGAAGACGGCGAAGGTCGCACAGGCGCTGTCGGCCTCCGCTTGCGCCCTGTGGTGCTTAGTCGATGGCGACGACGCCCAGGTGGCTGATGCCGTCCGCGAAGGGAAGGCGGCGGCGATGTTGGTCGGCGCCAGCGAGACTACCGCCGCCGAGTTCAAGAAGGTCATGACGGCGGTGCTGGAGGCCGCGATCAGCAGGCAGCAGCCCCTTGGGGAGGTTGCGCACAACGTCGCACCGGCGCTGGAGTCCACCGCTCTGGCCCAAGCCTATCCGGGGTTGGATGTTGAAGCCGAGGCCAAACTGATCGCACGAGCGACGGTGGAAACCCTCGCGTTCTGGGGAATGTGCTCCGTGGATGGGCCGAAACTCAGGAAGATCGGCATCGCGGTGCCGCTTGACGCGCAGATGGAGTACGACATCGAACACAGGGGGAGGAAGAGGCCGAGGGGCAAGCATGGCAAGGACAGCTCGAGGAAGAAGGGGAAGAAGGGCAGAGCGGGCAAGGACAGCACGGCGGCGTAGTCGGCATAACAATCTGCCATGGGCGGCAGGAGGGAGCGCAAGTAGGTCTTCTTGCTAGGATGGCCTGGTATGGGCGGCGTCGATTATGTGGTTTTTTTGGGATTTTTTTTCGTTTGATTGTATAGTTTTCGTTGGGATTTCTTTTGTTGGCTGTAACTTTTTGGTAGTGCATGTTACTAGAACACTCCTCGGCAAGGTCGACCTGATCTCTACCATGTTACTCAAATGCGGGCCCGGTTCGATGAACCCCGTCGGCGTATAGCAACTCGGCGTCGTACGGTGTCGACATAGTGCGTCTGGCTGTATGCATGTAGATACTCGGCGATGAGCCTCGTCGGCTAGGCCGAGATGGTCAATGGTCGGCGCTTTGGGGAATGTGCCGCGCCGCCCAGGTGGCCGAAACTCTAGGAGGTCGGCATCGATGTGTCGTTTGACGCGCATATCGAGCGGGCATGGACAGCACGGATGCGTAGTCGGCGCGCGGAGGGAGCGCTAGGTGGTATGATTGCTCGGTTATAGCGTGATCGGCGCCGTTTGCGCCGTTTGCATGCAGTCAAGGCACAATGAATTGCACACACATGGTGGCGACTATGTCGGAGTCCGACATATCTGGTTCGGATGTATGTGTTGGATCATGTATGTTCGTGTTGCATCAAAATCAACAAGTACGATGGTAACACAACGGTTTGCTAAATTAGGGCATCATCAACCTACGCTAACACATATACACCGAGGATCTTCATGCCGACTTCTTGCGCTTTGACGAAGGACGCTGCGCAGGTGCGGTCTGCTTGGCCAAGTCGGCCACGGTCTTCGGCATCTGCTCCTCCCAGGTGTCTGGAAACAGGCGGTCGACCCACGTCGTCGGCTTCAGCTCGAGCGCCACCAGCGCACAGGCGAGGCGTAGCTTCGAGACCACCTTGGGGCCAAGCCCCTTGACGCCCATGCCAGGCTCCTTGGACATCGTCGGTGCCGTCTCCGGGTTGAGCACCGTGAGGGCATCGCAGAAGGTCCCAATGCCCGGTGACGCGATCGTGTTCAGTGCATCGACCACGGCTTCGGTGTCAGCATCGCCGTCGCTCGCGCGTAGCTGGCGCACCGCATGCATGGCCTACAGCATGCGGCGCACCCTCATGTTGAGTGCACCCTGGGTCGCGCCTTTGAGGAGGGTGTGGCGGTCGATGAACCCCGGCTCGGCGACCCTGTCGCAAAGACGACGGGTGTCATTGGCGGTGGCGGAGTTCCAGAGGCGCCAAGCGTCCCGCACGGTCTTTGAATCCCGCCAAGGTTGCACCACGTTGAGCTCGTAACTGGCCTCCTCCGCCGTCTGGGGGGGTGGCGGGGGTTTCCCATCATCTCTCTTGGCTCCGGTCCCCGTGTTGGCCGAATCCGCGGAGCCACCCTCGCCCGGAGTTTGATCGGTAGCCGACGGCGGCGCCGCCGGCATCCTCCGGGCTTCTGACACACGGAGTGCCTCGGTGAGTCGAGCAAGCTCGGAGGTGAGCGACGCGATGGTGTCGTTTTGCTTCTCGATCGTCTCCTGAAGGCCTAGCTTCTCGAGCACCGAGCGCTCGACCTCCTTCTTCAGCGCCTCCTTGAGGGACATGTTGTGATACTGGGTGTCCATGCGCACGGATATTTCCTGCAATGTTGGGTGTGCGGAAAGGCGACAAGAGGTTAGGATTCACCGGCTAAAATTCAACGACGCCGACATGGTCGGCAACTCACCTCCGGTTGTATCTGAGTCGGGTCCCGGCGCTTTTTGATCGTATCGGTGTCGACCGACTCGACCCTTTTCGCCCAGTGCTGGAAGAGGGCTATCCTGCAGAGCTTCGAACCTTGGACGTACGGGTGCCACGGTGTGCGGACGAGCTTCACCGCGAGGTCCTCGACGACGATTCGTCGGAACATCACGAGGGTGCGCAAGAAGTGCACTGCGGCTGCAGCGGCGTCGCTCCCGTTGACGGCACACGTCTCCGCCTGCAAGTCGGAAAGTGGCGTGGGTTAGTAGGGAGTTGGGCAGCCAACTAGGCCACGACGACTGAAAAACATTGTCGGCGTCGCGTGACATACATCGCGCAGCATAGCATCCACGCCGGGGAAGATGTGCTCGGCGAGCAGGTCCAGGAGTTTGTCGGAGGGCTCGACCCTGCTGCGCCCCAAGAAGTAGTCTTGCTTGAGTCCCGAGTAGCCGGCCTTCTGCATCACCACCCCAACGGGAATGGCCGTGATGTACGCACGCGTCATCTTGTCGAGAGCCCAGTGTCCCAGCTCGGCGATCTGGGCGCGCGGCGTCCCTCCGATGGCTAACTCCTGCGCACCTCCGGCGCGGGCGGCGTGCACGTTCCTCTTGCAGAATACCTTGTTGGTCGTCCACACCTGCCGAGTCCAACGTTGGTGGGTGGCGGCGGAGAGCTCCTCCTGCTCCTTGTCGTTTCTGGCGAAGAAGAGATGCTTCTTGTACCAGCGTTCGCGTTCTGTGGTGTCAAGCGGCGAAAGAAAGTCGGTGCCGGAGAACTGACCGATCTGGTCGAGGAGGAAGTGCAGCCACAGGCCGGTCTCGCCGATGGCGCACAGCTCCGCTTCCAGGTGTCGCGCAGCGTAGCTCTGCTGAAGACGGGCATCCTTGGAAGTCTTCGAGTTACGCGCGGCGATCACCATGACGACCGGCTGGCTATCCGGGTTCACCTCCGAGGTGCTCGCCAGGTGGTACAAGAAGATGTCGGGGAGCGTGATCTCGCGGATGCTGGCGCCGCGCAGGAGAGTGTGGTGGGAGAGTAGCGTGAGCACCTTGATGAGCAGGAATCGCCACAGCGTCTGCGACGGAGTGGTAGCCCGCGGGTTCCACGCCGCCGCCGCCCATGTCGGCAGCACCCTCATCATGATCTGGCGGAACTGCTCGGCGGTGTAGGTATCGCCGATGGTGCCGCGTCGACGGTCGGCGCAGTTCCTGAACGCAAATCGGCGGGGAAAATCTGTTAGACTGCGTCGACTTCACAGTGCACAGTGACATATAATAAGGTTGTCGACCAACTTACTTGAGGTCCCTCTCGTTCTTGTGGCGGACGTTGAACCGCACCTCCGATCTCACCACCGAGATCTCCCTCATGATGCCCAGCTCCTTCTCTCGGTACAGCGTCGCCTCCACCCTCGCCGCCATCTGGCATGCCTTTATGCGCCCGAGGATCGTGTGCACAGTTGTCGACCTCACAGGCCCCGTTCGCGTGGCATTGTTCTCCTCCCCGGGCTGGTCAACAATGAGGTTACACTTACGGCTCATTTGCTTCATGTAGGCGCGCAGCCGGGTATCGCTGACCCTAGGGCCGTGCAGCCAGATGTACTGTCGGCGGACCACTTTCTCGTTGCACCAATCCTTTTTCTTGTTGTCGCGGATGTAGTGGCCGATCTCGTCGACGTGCCTAAGTCGTTGCTCATGGGGTAGCTTGTCGCGTATCTGCGTCAGCATCTTCGCCGCCCATTTCTTGTAGTGGTAGATGAACGCGGTGTACAGCCTGAGCGTGCTATTCTTCTCCAAGCTTTGTAGGTGTCGTAGGGCGTCCATTATGAGGACGTCAATGCTGGAGTACACCATGTCGTCCACTACAAAGTCCGTCGCCTTCCACCCTTCGCGCGGCACCGCCATGTGCTGATTGTCCTCCTCCTCGTCCGCTTCGAGCATGTCACGAATGTATTCAAATTCCCGCCTAAGGCGTTCTTCCAAGGTGCGCGGATTCGTGCTACGCGGAGGACGGTCGTCGACTTCGTCGTCGCTCTCTTCCTCGTCCTCGTCGTCGCCATCACCTTGGCTTTCCGAGCCGGCCGGCACCGACGAAGGTCCAGTCTGCCCATCTGCCGTCGGTGTCGACTTCTTCGTAAACTCCCCAATTGGCGGATTCGGTATGTCCTTGGTGTACTCCCCTTCGGGAATCTGAGTAAGTTTGTCAAGATCGTAAAGCAACTTCAGCGTCTCTACGGGGGCAGAGGACGGACTGTGGTCGGTTGGGGTACCAACGTCGGGCATGTCGACGTCGTCCATGACCGCTCGTATGCTCTACCGCCGGCCGTGGAAGAGGGAAAGATTGGTCAACCAGAGATGGTACTGATTCACGGGTGCGGTGTACGCCCTAATCGTCCTGCGGCGGCCTTCCTCGAATTCCCTCCCAAGTGCTTCTAACTCAGCGTCGACCTCGAGTCGTTCCAGTTGCGCTTTGATGTCGTCGTCTACCGAATCGGCGGGGTGTGGGATAAGTTGTTGTGGCTGTTGGGCACTAGCCCTTCCTCTGGCCATGCGTCGCCGACTCGGTAAGGTTGGGAGATGCTATCGTCGCCCTGATCTATCGTCGCCGACTTTCCTACATGACGACCTAGAACCTAGTAAGGCGAAGTCGACGATGGTCGACCCCAACACCGACCTATGGCAGTCTATTCCAGGTCGTCGCCTTTGTGCCGCCGCTCGGTCGACTCGGCCGTCGAGTAACCTACACCCGCAGAGATAGCGAGGGTCCTGTGAAGAAAACGAAGTGCTAGATGGCGCACAGGAGCATGAGAGAAACATGAAGCTGAACCGGCAGAATGAGAGCGTTGTGCGTGGTCAAGGAGGGGTATGGTTGCGAGCCACTGCGCACCTGCCGCGCTCCACGCAGCCCTCTTTGCAAGCGCCGCTGTGCACGTGCATGACGTGTCACGATCGATGCATGTCTAGTGTCACGCCGCTCTGCGCTCAACGGCACTCCCGCCGGTGCCTTGCCACGGTGGAATTCACGTGCGCCGCGTGCAATAGGCCAATCACCTAGTTCCACTCTCCCGAAATGCCGTAGCGTCCAGCTCTCCCGCGCAAACCTCATCGACCTACGAGTTGGCGCGTGGCCGGAGGCTTGGTCGACGCCGACATTTCCCTGAGTCTGGGGCTCTCTTCGCCTATGCATTGTTTGGTCCGCACAGAACCATCCGCGTGGGTCGTGCTGCTGCGGTTGGATCTTCGGGCGACACCTACATCTCAATACCCCGCGTTCTCTGGCTATCTAGGTGGTGGACACATGCCAGTCGTCTATCGCCGCGTGGACGATGGTTACATTTTTCGTCGGCGCGCCAAGTTTCGCGCGCAGCGAAATATACCCGGTGGTGCGAAGCGGGGCCACGTCGGCGCCGTCGTGGCACCTCCCGATTGTCAGGCTCGATCTCGGCCGTCCCTACTAAGCCACGTGGCAGTAATCGCGGCTCGGCGCACAACGTGTCGAGCTGTGGTTCAGGGTCCGCTGAGGTATCCTTCTCGGGTTTCTCTCAGCGAAACCCGAGGTCGTCAAATGGTCGACAATCCCGAGGGGTTCAGAGCCCCAGAGGACTGCCAGGTCGCCCCAGTTTGCCACTCGCAAGTCGTCAGGAGCTCGTCAATCCCGAGGGGGTTCGTTGTCCTGTCGCCACCGCGAAATTGGGCGGCAGTTTTCGTCGGCTGAGGTATACCTTGCCGTTTCCACATTCCGAACGACGTACGGACAATGGTTCGCCGCGCAGTTCCCTACACGCTGATCCACAGTAAAATGAAACCGATATTTTCCGCGTCTTCGCCGATTTCGCCACGTGCGGTGCGTGACCGTACATCATTGTGCTGTATCCCCAATATGATACATTAGCTGTAGTACCAATAGGCCTACCCTACACATCATTATTCTCCACACACACCCACACACGAATTGCATATTTTCTTCAACTCTGCAAGTCCTTTGAATGTCCTAAGGGCGCTCGCCAGCTCTACCTGTCGTGCAACTTGCAACTCAGATTAATCAAGTAGGCGTACTGTCCGTTCTGTGCAGCTTTCAGTGCCTTCATGTCAATCATATAGTACCAGACAAACGCCCCCAGCAAGGGCCCACTCCACTGCTCTCCCAACAGCACCCACTCATCGCCCAATCATGACATGACCCCCTTCAGAAAGCCATAGCCAGCCAGCTAGTTGTCATACCAGACAAGCACCCCCAGCAAGGGCCCACTCCACTGCTCTCCCAACATCACCACTCATCGCCCCGTCCATCCCTGCCTCTAAGCATGCTTGCTGCACTCCCACATCCAAGCCAGCAGCCAGTGCCACGCTAGAAAGGCACTCATGCGGTGGTGACCGTTGAGTCAAACCAGAATCAGCACACACCGGCTCCGAACCCGGCTGCTATGAGTGCTGCAAGCAGTTCCTCTACCAAAGTGGGTTTCCTCACTGCCCCTTCCATCCCTGAACGCTCTCTCTCCACTGCCACACCCCCAAGTAGCAGCCGGTGCAGTTTTATCAAAGCGCTCGTGTGGTGGTAGCTGTCGAGTCGAATCAGAATCAGAGTGCACTGGCTCCAAACCCGGCTGTTATGAGCGCTGAGAGCAGCTCCTGAGCCACAATCGGCTTCCTCACTGCCCCATCCATCCCGGCCTCCAAGCACGCTCGCTTCACGCCTACATCCAAGTCAGCTGTCAATGCTATGATACAAAGGCGCTCGTGAGTGGTTGCATCAGTTGCACATGCTGCTGCCACTGCTGCTGTTTCCGCTGCTGCTGTTGCTGCTGCTGCTGCATCAGTGGCAGCATTGTCTCCCTCTGGCATCTGGGCTGCCTTGCTGCTGCTCTTGCTACACTGTGCCCTCTCCATTGCTCGGATCTGACGAGCCGTCTCAAATCTGTGGGGAAATGGGAGGCAACCGGTGGCAAGAAAGGGACGTGAACAAGGCAGCTGAGGAATTACAGGATTGCAGTTCCAAAGGAAAGACCACTGAGGGCACCCAAGGAAAGAAGGAACATTGCAATTCATTTCAGTTGCAAAGTCCAATGAAGAACCTCCTTTAACCACATTCAAAGTAAGGAGAGTCCAATTCAATATGACATATGGGAGGCAGGTAACAGTCTCAACAATCGCACTTCAGCAGCAGCGGCGAAAGAGACCAGCAATAGAATCCAAGCTCACCCGTCGATGCTGGTTGGCATGTGGAGGTCAAGCAGCAGCAGGTGAACGGGCGAGGAGAGCATGGCATTGATGATGAGTGGTTGACGAGTGGGGAGCGTGTGGGTGGGGTGAGAGGCAGGTGATGAGATGCAAGGCACTCACCCGTCGATGCCGGGCGGCATGTGGAGGTCGAGCAGCAACAGCTGGATGGGCGGGGAGGACGCAGCATCAGAGAGCGCCTGCAGCGCCTCCTCCCCTGAGGGGAGCAGCAGCACATTCGCCCCGTAGCCCTGCAGCGTTCTCCTTGCCACCATGCGGTTCACCGCGTTGTCATCCACCACCGCCACGCCCCGCCCTGCCACTGCTGCTCTCACCAACCCCTCCGCCTCCCCTGCTGCACGCTCCGTGTGCAGCTTGTGCAGCTGTTGGAGAGATTGTGCTCGCGTTATCTGCCGGCCTGATACAGTTTCACACGCCGCCCCTGCACGAACCTGCCCCCCCTCAGCGTCTCCCATGCCGTCCCTGTGGGAGCGGGGTTTCGGGAGCGAATGCGACCGTGGTGGAAACACCCCCTCCTCTGGTGGCGCTGCCGCCACTGCTGGCGATACCCTGTCCGCCTCTCCTGTACGCTTTACGGATTCGAACATGCCAGTTGGTGGCTTGGGGTGAGAGCGCGCCCTTGCTGCCCGCTGCTGCAGAGGTGCCCGCTGCTGCCCAGGTTCCTGCTGCTGCCCAGGTGCCTGCTGCTGCCCAGGTTCCTGCTGCTGCCCAGGTGCCTGCTGCTGGCCAGGTTCCTGCTGCTGCACAGATGCTTGCTGGGGCTGCTGCTCCTGCTGCTGCTGCTGCACAGATGGATACTGCTGCAGGCTTGCCTGCTCCTGCCCAGGTCCTTGCTCCTGCCCACGTTCCTGCTCCTGCCCAGGTCCCTGCTCCTGACCAGATCCCAGCACGACTGGCATTGCAGCACTCGCAAATTCCACAGACTCCCCGTCACACCCTGACCCACACCCATCCCTTTCACCCCCACTCTCCTCATCTCCCCCCCAATCCTCGAAGCTGCCGCTGTCCTCCCCTCCCCCCATGGGCAGAGCCAGCAGAATGGTGGTGCCTGTGGCGGCGTGTGACAGCACTGCCATGTCTCCCCTCATCTCAGCCACCTGCGAGGGGGGAGAAAGGGGGGGTATTGGGAAGAAGGGGAGCAGTGGAGAGACAAGGTGAGAATGGTGGTGCCTGTGGCGGCGTGTGACAGCACGGCCATGTCTCCCCTCATCTCAGTCACCTGCGAGGGGGGAGAAAGGGGGGGTATTGGGAAGAAGGGGAGCAGTGGAGAGACAAGGTGAGAATGGTGGTGCCTGTGGCGGCGTGTGACAGCACGGCCATGTCTCCCCTCATCTCAGTCACCTGCGAGGGGGGAGAAAGGGGGGGTATTGGGAAGAAGGGGAGCAGTGGAGAGACAAGGTGAGAATGGTGGTGCCTGTGGCGGCGTGTGACAGCACGGCCATGTCTCCCCTCATCTCAGTCACCTGCAAGGGGGGAGAAAGGGGGGGTATTGGGAAGAAGGGGAGCAGTGGAGAGACAAGGTGAGAATGGTGGTGCCTGTGGCGGCGTGTGACAGCACGGCCATGTCTCCCCTCATCTCAGTCACCTGCGAGGGGGGAGAAAGGGGGGGTATTGGGAAGAAGGGGAGCAGTGGAGAGACAAGGTGAGAATGGTGGTGCCTGTGGCGGCGTGTGACAGCACGGCCATGTCTCCCCTCATCTCAGTCACCTGCGAGGGGGGAGAAAGGGGGGGTATTGGGAAGAAGGGGAGCAGTGGAGAGACAAGGTGAGAATGGTGGTGCCTGTGGCGGCGTGTGACAGCACGGCCATGTCTCCCCTCATCTCAGTCACCTGCGAGGGGGGAGAAAGGGGAAGTGAGAAGGAGGGGCGCAGGAGGGGTGGGGAGTGACAAGGTTAGAATGGTGGTAGCAGTAGAGGCATGGTGTGTAACCGCACTGCCATATCTCCCCTCGCCTCAGCCACCTTCTCGGGGAGAAAGGAGGAGTGGCTTGGCAAGTAAGAAGAGATGGGATAGCGACACGACAGGTGCAACGTGAGGGGTTGTGGGTGCGATACTGCCAAGCCCGGGGGAGGATGATACGCGGAGGATGATACGCGGAGGATGATACGCGGAGGATGATACGCGGAGGATGATACGCGGAGGATGATACGCGGAGGATGATACGCGGAGGATGATACGCGGAGGATGATACGCGGAGGATGATACGCGGAGGATGATACGCGGAGGATGATACGCGGAGGATGATACGCAGAGGATGGTATGCGGAGGATGATATGCGGAGGATGGTATGCGGAGGATGGTATGCGGAGGATGATACGCGGAAGATGGTATGCGGAGGATGGTACGCCGAGGATGGTATGCGGAGGATGATATGCGGAGGATGACGCTCACAAGAGCAGTAGAGAGCAGGAAGCAGACAGGGTAGGGCGTCCAGCGGGGGCCAGCTGGGGGAGGTACAACACAAGCAGCACAAGGCGGGCGGTGGCACTCACTAGCGCGGTGGAGAGCAGGAAGCGGACGGGGTAGGGCGTCCAGCGGGGGCGGGCAGCGGACCTCTGGTCGTGCGTGAGAGTGGCAGTTGCTGCTGCCCTGCTGCCCCGGCGACTGAAGAGGTGGGGGAAGAACGTATCCTGGTGGACAGTGGGGTGTGGAGGAGCACAGTGAAGGGGAAACGCAGACAAGGATGGGAGGGATTGAGCACTCTGGTGAGACAGTTGTTACAGGGATGCTCGACGTACCGCGGCAGGGAAGCAGGCAGAGAAGTGAAAGACTTTTGAGACGCCTCTAAAGCACTCTGGTGAGGCAGTTGTTATAGGGATGCTCGACGCGCCGTGGCAGCAGGCAGAGAGGTGAAAGCGAAGCTATCCATCCACTTACCTTGCCATCACCGCCATTGTCGTTGTCGCTGCCATCACCGCCATTGTCGTTGTCGTTGCCATCACCGCCGGCTGAACCCGCAACAGGGGCATGAGGAGGAGGAGTGTGCTGCAGCGGCGTGGTGCGAGTCGGGAGTCCGAGTCCCCATGTGAGTCCCCATGTGGGTCCAGTCCAGTACCCACGTTCCGTTCCTACCCACTCACCTTGATGCCTTGGTCATCCTCTTGGTAGCCATCACCGCCACCGGAACCAGCAGCAGCCTCAGGAGCATGAGAGGAGGAGTGTGCTGCAGCTGCAGCGTGGTGCGAGTCCCCGTACGGATCCAGCACCCACCGCAGCTCCTCGGGTGGTATACCACCACCCGAGTCTTCACACGACATCACCACGATCCACTCTCCCTCCTCTCTTGCCGCACACACTCCCTCCACCCACTCCCTCACCTCCTCCTCCAACCGCCCATGCCCACTCCCACCCTGTGCCTCCTCCCCCTCCTCGCCCTCCTTCCCGCTTGCTTTCTTTGAACCCCCTGTGCCTGAAGCGCCCATGCGCCGGCGAAAACGCGAGAGGTGGGTGAGGGGCGAGTTGTGAGGCGGCTCAGAAGAGCCCCCTGCCTGCCCTGCCCCCCCCCTGTTGCCTCTTGCAATGTGGCGCTGAGGCAGGCGTGCCAGATGGGTGGAAGGTGGGAAGCGGCGCACACAAGCAGACAGCTGGTGCCACGTGGGAGAGCTCGAAGGGAGATGGTGAGGGGCACGGGAGGAGGCGTGAGGAGGAGGTGAGGCAGGGGACACGGCGGCAGTAGCGGATGCGCAGGGGAGGTGGAAGCGGCTTGTTGAGGCGTGTGGGAGAGGCGGGGGAGGGATGCAGCAGACGTGGAAGGCCACGCGACCACCAGCAACGTTGCTCACAGCGTGGGCTGCATGGGAGAGTCGGTTTAAGGGGACAGTCAGACAGACACAGTTATTAGTCGACTCAAAAAGAGGCGGGGGAGGGATGCAGCAGACGTGGAAGGACACCCGGCCACTAGCAGCGTTGCTCACGGCGTGGGCTGCAGGGGAGAGGTGGAGGCAAGGGGACAACAGGACAGACAGACAGGATTTCTGAGTCGACTCAAAAAGAAGTGGGGGACGGATGCAGCTGTCCTGGAAGGGTTTTGAGACGTCTCAAAACCCTTCTTCAATCACGTGGCGATTTCTGAGTCGACTCAAAGAGAAGTGGGGGACGGATGCAGCTGTCTTGGAAGGCCACACAGCCAGCAGCAGCAGCGTTGCGCGTGGCGTGGGCTGCATGCAAGGAGGGGGTTAAGTGCAAGGGGAAAGAAAAATACAACAATGATTAAGTCGACTCAAACAGAGGCGGGGGAGGGATGCAGCAGACGCGTAAGGCCACCAGCAGTGTTGCTCAAGGCGTGGGCTGCATGGGAGAATGGGTTCAGTTGAATTTCATAGTTTTCGAAAAGCAGCAAGCCTACTAAGAGTAGCGATCTGTAGCACTAGTCTCACGGCGTGGGCTGCAGGGGAGAACGGGTTCAGTTCAAGGGGACAGCCAGGCAGACTCGGTTTTTTAGTCGACTCAAAACGAGGCGGGGGGGGATGCAACCAGGCGGGTCATTGACAACTAGGCACATGCGAGTGTACTTTTAAGTTGACTCGAAACGAGTCATTGACAACTAGGCACATGCGAGTGTGGACCAACAGGAAGAGACGTCTCAAATGAGGCACCAATACGCACCTGTGAGCTCTTCAACGACTTGCGCCAGGCGAGTAGGATCCCCCATGAGGACATCCGGCACACTCTCCTCCACGTGGCATGTCACTGCAGCACACAGCATCCGCAGCACAGCAACCACAACAGCACACATCAGTCAGTATGCACCCGAGTCAGGACCGCATCCACAGTGTTGCACGAACTGAGGGGAAAACTGGGATGCATCAAACCGCTCATACGTTGCGGATCGTCTGTTGGTGCACTCGAGTCAACAAGCGGAATTGCCTCATAAACAATAAATACAGCGTAGGCAGCACGGGAGAGTCCTCAACCTGCAGCCGGCTGGCCTGCAGCTTGGCGAACCGAGGTCCAGTCCAGCGCACATTCATACCTTGCAGGTTCTTTCCCGGTGCTATCGGTTCATCAACTGCTGAAGGGGCAGAAGTGGCTGAAGTTGCCTCGTGCATAATGCTGTGCAGGCAGCAGGGGAGAGTCTCGAGTTGCAGCCGTCCTGCCTGCAGCTTGGCGAGGTCCAACACTCGGTTGATGAGCTCCACCGTCTCGCCCGCACACGCCCTCGCAATCCTTAGATCCTCACGTTGCCACTCTTCCAGTTGAGACTCCAGCAGCTCCTCTATCATGCCTGTGTGGGACGGAGGAGGAGGGAGGGTAAGTGGGGTGCGATGCAGCTTGGCGAGGTCCAGCACTCGGTTGATGAGCTCCACCGTCTCGCCCGCACACGCCCTCGCCACCCTTCACGCTGCAGCATTGTCATTACCCCATCAGCATCACCATTACCGCATCACTATCACCATTACCGCATCATTATTACCATTCTTGCATCAATATCACCATTACCGCATCACTATTACCATTCCGTATCACTACTACCATAACCGCATCACTATTACCATTACCGTATCACTACTACCATTACCGCATCACCACTACCATTACCGCATCACCATTACCATTACAACATTACCATTACCATTACCATTACCATTACCATTACCATTACCACATCACCATTACCATTACCACATCACCATTACCATTACCATTACCACATCACCATTACCATTACCGCATCACCATTACCATTACCACATCACCATCACCATTACCATTACCACATCACCATTACCATTACCACATCACCATTACCATTACCACATCACCATTACAATCATAACGCCAATGAATGGTGTGCGCAGCTCTCACCTATCATGCCAATGAGTGTTGGGCACGCCCACACACATACATGCACGCCCACACACTCTTCCTCCCTCACCTATCACGCCTATGGGTGGCGTGCGCAGCTCATGCGAGGAAATAGCCACGGTCTCACTCTTGGACTTCTCAGCTCCCTCCAACCTCCATTTGAGCCGACTCAAAACTTACAAACGCATGCACGCCCTCCCTCACACATGCACGCCCTCCCTCACACATGCACGCCCTCCCTCACACATGCACGCCCTCCCTCACACATGCACGCCCTCCCTCACACATGCACGCCCGCATTCTCCCTCACCTATCACGCCTATGAGCGGCGTGCGCAGCTCATGGGACGTATTGGCCACGGTCTCACTCTTGGACTTCTCAGCTCTCTCCAACGCTGCCGTGCAAAGCTGCATCTCCCTCACCCCTTCCTCCATCTGCCGCTGCTTCCATGCCAGAACCAAAATCACAGTGGAAATTAACACAGCCACCAGAAGCACCAGCAATCCCAGCAGCATGGGAGCAACAACCAGGTCCCACCTGGGGTAGGGGCCCTCAAACCTGCACATTGGCATTTAGGAATCCATGAGGACGAGACCATACAAACTTTTTAGTCCACTCAAAAGTCAATTTATGTGGAGGAGACATACGAACTTCATGAGATTAGACTCAGGAGAGCCTGATTCAGGTTGGGTCTAGAATCAGGAGACACACCAACGAACCGCACTGCCTCCTCACCACACCTGCACTGCCTCCTCACCACACCTGCACTGCCTCCTCACCACACCTGCACTGCCTCCTCGCCTCACCTGCAGTGCGCCTCATATTTGCGGCCGAGCAAGTCCTCAGGAAAACGCTCGATGTGCTTGGGGTAAGGCACGACAGGGCCGGGCAGCACATACGGGAAGAGGGACCCACTCTCCAGCTTGACTGGATCAGGGCCAAGCACCTGAATGGGCTGCTGCGGGTCGGTGGTGTCGTACAGGGCGATAGAATAGGAGCTCGCGCTGCTGTCTGCATGGGCTCGCTCACACACACACGCACACACACACACACACACACACACACACACACACACACACACACACACACACGCACACATTCATACAAGGCACGGGAGAACACAGGCTTTAAGGGACCTCAAACAATGGGCTCCAGGCCGAGCACCTGAATGGGCTGCTGCGGGTCTGGTGCTGCGGGGTGCTGCGGGCATTCAGGCGCTGTGTGGTGCCATACAGCGCGATGGAGTAGGAGCTCGCGCTGCTGTCTGCATGGATCACACACACTCGCATGGAATGCACTGGGGGCACAGATTTTAAAATTCTTTTTCAAAAGGTGCCATACAGCGCGATAGAGTAGGAACTGGCGCTGCTGTATGCATGCATGTAGTGAGAAACACACATGAATGGAACGAAAGTGGCGGCACGGCACGGCACGGCACGGCACGGCACGGCACTTGAGAGAATTCCCCCAGGTGAGATCAATGACAACAGTGTTGGGAAAGAAAAGCGATCGAACTGTTCTGCACCAGGTGAAGGACATCTTGTACCTCATTGCCCATGTAGCTGAGGTCGGCCCACGCGGTAGGGCTCAAACTCGCCCTGGACAGCAAAGGTCAGTTGTATGGAGCATTATGAGGGGCGTTATGAGTGCGAACCGTTATGCAGCAGGTGAAGGACGTCTTGCAGCTCGTTGCCCATATAGCTGAGGTCGACCCATGCGGTGGGACTCACACTCGCCCTCCGCTGCTCCAGTGTTGCGTTCTCGGGGACGAGATGGCGGAATATAGGCACCACGATCACTGCATGCATGCATGGATGGAAGAAGGGATAGTTGGGTAGAAAGAACACTGAGGACGGCTTGAAGCTCGAGCTCTAATAAGGAGAGGTCGACCCACGCGGTAGGGCTGGTTTTTGAGAATTCTTAAAACCCCACGCGGTAGGGCTCACACTCGCCCTCCGCTGCTCCCGTGATGTGTTCTCGGGGACGGGATGGCAGAATTTAGGCACCACAATCACTGCATGCATGCACGGATGGATGGGGTGACATGGGCGGTTGGATGGGTCATGGTCACGGCCATGCTCCCGTGATGACTTCTCGGGGACGGGATGGCGGAGCGGAAAATAGGCACCACAATCACTGCACACATGGATGGATGGATGGATGGATGGATGGATGGATGGATGGATGGATGGATGGATGGATGGATGGATGGATGGATGGATGGATGGATGGATGGATGGATGGATGGATGGATGGATGGATGGATGGATGGATGGATGGATGGATGGATGGATGGATGGATGGATGGATGGATGAGAGAAACACCGAACTGTCAATCATTTGCTTTAAGCCCAGACCAAGTCTGCTAGTCCAGACCTAGTCTGCTAGTCCAGACCTAGTCTGCTAGTCCAGACCTAGTCTGCTAGTCCAGACCTAGTCTGCTAGTCCAGACCTAGTCTGCTAGTCCAGACCTAGTCTGCTAGTCCAGACCTAGTCTGCTAGTCCAGACCTAGTCTGCTGCTCGCTGAGAATTGTGTCAGAAGACCGATGCGGATTTAGGGATGAGCAAAACACACAACTGCAGATCGGTTCGCGAGGCATCCTCGTTTACTGTAAACACCCAATTGCAGATGTGGTTTACTGTTGCTCGCTGGAATATGTCTAATCAACTGCAGATCAGTTCGCATCGAACATAAGGCCAATTTAGTCAGGTAGCGTACGGTCAAAGTATAAATGCACCTTGCGCTGATCTGTAGAGCAACAATTTGCGCGAGATTACTGGTCATGTGATGTGACATGACACCACTTACTCACCAATGTTCACCCACCCACTCGCACAAAACGTCTCAGACAGGCACATGATACGTCTCAAAACGCCTCATAACGACTCAGCTTGGGAACTCTTTTTTTTTTTTTTTTGGTGGACGTAGATATATTAATAACAATATAGGTACATCCTCAGTCGTAACTGTAGGCTTGGCCCTTGGGGGGCATGGGTGCTGCCTGTGGCGGAACTCACCCCCCCTATCCTGTTTATGGTGGTTGGACAGGCGTTCTTGGGTTGCGCCAGATAGACATGAAGGCATCGGTCCACCGGGTTGGGAACTCTTTTGAAACGTCTCAGAAAGAACCAGCTCACCAGTGCCCACACGCAGCTCACCAGTGCCCACACGCAGCTCACCAGTGCCCACACGCAGCTCACCAGTGCCCACACGCAGCTCACCAGTGCCCACACGCGGGTTGCTGTTGAAAAAGACAGGCGGCAACGACACAGAGTTGCTTTCTAAAGCGCCTAAAAAAACCCCACGGCCCACGGACACAGCTTAGCTCACCAGTGCCCACACCCAGGTCGCCGTTGAAAAAGACAGGCGGCAACGAGACGGAGTTGCCACCGAGAATGGAGGAGAGGAGTGACGGGGAGACCATGGCGGAGAAATCGATGAAGGCCTCGAGATCGGCGACGTAGGCGTATCCGGGGAGAAAGTTGACGATGTAGTGCGGCTTGCGAGGCGAGGGCAGCCCCAGAGGTGACTTGATGACCATGCCTGTAATGTGCTCCACCAGTGCCCTGCAAGCACAGAGAAGTAGGGGGATGAGAAAGCAACTGGAGGTAGAAAGAGAGATAGGGGAACACACACACACACACACACACTCACACACACACACACTCACACACACACACACACACTCACACACACACACACACACACACACACACACTCACTCACGCCCACCTGTCAGCATCCTACACTTGCAAGACGAGCGTCCCTAGGGTGAGGCTCTCTAGGTCCAGGCTGACGGCAGGATTGTAGCGCAGTGCACGCACACCCACACGCACACCCACACGCACACCCACACGCACACCCACACGCACACCCACACGCACACCCACACGCACACCCACACGCACACCCACACGCACACCCACACGCACACCCACACGCACACCCACACGCACACCCACACGCACACCCACACGCACACCCACACGCACACCCACGCCCACACCCACACGCACACCCACACGCACACCCACACGCACACCCACACGCACACCCACGCCCACACCCACACGCACACCCACACGCACACCCACACGCACACCCACACGCACACCCACACGCACACCCACGCCCACACCCACACGCACACCCACACGCACACCCACACGCACACCCACACGCACACCCACGCCCACACCCACACGCACACCCACACGCACACCCACACGCACACCCACACGCACACCCACACGCACACCCACGCCCACACCCACACGCACACCCACACGCACACCCACACGCACACCCACGCCCACACGCACGCCCACACGCACGCCCACACGCACACCCACGCCCACACGCACACCCACACATACACACATGCATGCACTCGCGCACACACACACTCACGCCCACCTTTCGCTATCCTGCACGAGCATGAGCAATGTCCCTAGGGTGAGGTAATCCAATCCCATGGCGGTGGTGGCGTCTTTGTATCGAATCAAGCTGTCGTTATTGGCACACCCCGCCACTCCCCAGTAGGTCAGGTTGGTGGTGCTGCGCGGCCCGTACCCGTTGAACACACGCAGCAGCGCTGCCATTTGCTGCTCACACATACAGGGATGCACACACATGCGCAACGGAGTTCAGTTCAGCAATGCTGGTTCACACCCCTTCACGCCCCAAGAGATCAGGTTGGTGCTGCTGCGTGCGCGGCCCGTACCCGCTCAACACGCGCAGCAGCGCTGACATTCGCTGCGCACATATGCACACACACGAGTGCACACACAGACACAGACACAGACACATACACAACCACGCACGACGAGTTCAGTGCGGGCGGTGAGCGCAGCAGCGCTGACGTCTCCTGCTCACGCACGCACACGCACATGCACACACGGGCGCACACACGCACACATAATACACATGCGCACACACACACGCACGCACGCGCACATACACACGCGCACACACTGCTGCTGCTTAAGCGTCGCTTCACACACTGGTGCTCTAACAATGAGTGAAGACACGCACACATACACACGCACAACGAGTTAAACAAGGCCGTCTCCCCTCCGCGCCGCCCATCTGGGTTCCGCACCCCGGGGTGGGGGCCGCCATCAGCGCCGCGCGGGGCGGTGGGAGCGCGCCGCTGCGCGACGAGAGAGCTTCGAGGCGGAAATTTTAGGTCGACTCGAAAGTCGCGTCGCCGCTGCGCGACGGAAAGAGCTCTAGGACGCTAGACAGAATGTCGTTGGCAGTGTGCGCGCGGAAATTATCCGTGTCCTCGTGTCCCCCGTGTCAAGCGCGCCGATTATTTCTGAAAATCAAGGTCTACCTGCCACTAGGCCGAGCTCGCCTGTCTTTTGAGAATTCTCAAATAGCAGATTCAGCCCGTCTCCAATAAATGAAAGTCAACGCCTACCTGCCAAGAGGTCAAGCTCGCTACACGAACGTATAATTTCTATACGGGACCTCCCGAGCTCGCCAGGGGACCTCACGTTCGTATAATTTCTGAAAATCAAGGCTTACCTGCCACGAGACTGAGCTCGCCTGTCTCTTGCTGTCGATCTGTGCGCAGTGCGCTCCGTGATGTTAGGCTGAATTTGTCATTTGAGAATTCTTAAAAAACAGATTGCGCGCAGTGCGCTCCGTGATGCGTCGATCTGTGCGACGCCTCTCCGTCACGCGTCGCTCTGTAGGCCGTGGTTCTGTAGGGTGTCGTTGCGCGACGCTAATCGCCGTGAGCCGCTAAAATGCGTCGCTATCCGTTCATATGGGTCGCTACGCGAAGTTATCCATCGCTACGTGTCGCTATGCGTCGCTATCCGTCGCTATGGGTCGCTATGCGTCGCTATCGCTACGCGTCGCACCTGCACGCGCGAGACGAACGAGAGCAGGCGCTGATAGAGGTAGAGCACGCGCAAGTGGCACCACCCGCGCATCGCCTCCTCCCGCGGATTGACGGCCTGCGTGTGCGCGAACCACACCACCCACGCGCACAGCCCCGCCCATCCCACCACCCACACCGCCCCCAGCAGCGCCCTCCCCACGCCCCACGGCGGGCCCCGTGACGAGAGGCGCCACGGCTGGCGCATTACACGTCTGTGGCTTGGATTCAGGATCAAGCGTGAACAGCCAAAGTTAAAAAGAATTCAGAATGAGGAGAGCATAGGCGAGGAACTAGTGGTGTCGCTTATGCGTCATATGTAGAATTGAGACTACAGCGCTGCAGCGCTGGGACAGTGGGCCATGCGCACCGCACACAGCGAAGTGAATGGCGCTGTTCTTTCTCGACTCGAAGCTATGTTCTGTTAGCGCATAGCCTGTGCGAAACCCTAACGGGGAAGAATGATGCATCATGTGTACATGATGCACAGTCGAATCGCAGACATTTGCTTCTGCCCACGATCAACCCTACCCCAATCGCAGACATTTACTCTGCCCATCATTTGCAGACACTAGCACTTGAGCACCCCTTTCCCAATGGCACCTGAGCACGGGAAAACGAACGCTGTACAGAACTCGCGGCTCGGGAAGATTCAATATTTGACGAGTGGTCGGGAAGCTTCGACCTCCCACTTGCACCCCTGCTTTCCGGGCAAGCTCTGTAGGCGCATTGAAGGGTGCATTAGGACTCGTTCTCTTCCTCCATCATGGAAGCTACAGTGCAACGGTTGCATCCCACCTTGCAAGGTAACCTGAAGTCGTTAACACATGCGTATTGATAGTAAATAATGCTTAGCGATCTTGTCGCCACAGATGTAGCGCGAATACCCCCAACCCCTGCACACAACGATCTGGGAACCCGCCCTCGAGCACAGAGCTCGAGCCCTAGGTGACAACAATGACCCCACCCATTAGTCCCATCGCATTGTCAGATACAGAGAAACTTTTTTATATGATCATTGAAAGTATACACCTAAGAGCAAGCATTCTGACAAGAACCTCTTCCTCCATATAGGATTCCTAGGGCCTGACATTCCTAGCCCTCCACGCCGACCAGATTGCTGCGAAACCATTTGTCCAGTTCAGATTATTTCCGTCCATTTTGATCCTCTTCAGCATACTCAATTTCTCATGTGTATCTCACCGTCTTTGTGTCAGTGTAAGGAATTTTCTCGACATTCCTTAGTGCGCGCTGCAACATCGCGTACAGCAACAGCCGTTGTTCGCCCGTTACTGCTAACGGGGCTTCGCCGAATTCGCGCGCACTGTTTCACCAAACCTCGCACTGCTGGCCCGGCCGTGTCGGCCTACGCTTCAGGACTAGCCCGAGCCTCGCTGCCAGCGTAGCACTAGCTAGCTCGTACGCACCGCGATACCGTTTGCATGTTTCGCGTATAAATGTTCGCTCATGCCTTCGCTCATATTTTGTACTCGTTTGACACCTTAATGCAATCTTCGTTACCTCGATTCATTGCACCCGTAACACTTGGTATTCAGAGCCTCTTTCCTTTCGGACCGCGCATCTCCGCACCCCAGAAAATCAACTTTTGATTTTTCACTCGAAGGGGCTCACGCACCTTAGTGTCAGATTTATATGACATAGTTGCTGTAGGCTATAGTGGGGTAGCACATATGGGGTACAGGTTCTCTAGGGTTGTATTTGTACCCAATCTTTCCTTAGTCATTCATTCCTGTTTTCTTTACTTCACATGGTATAGAGCGGGTCCTACCTTAGGACCGTTTTTTTAGGGCCCACCGAAGCGCGCCCCGAGGCGCGCCTTTTTTTTAGCGACCCCCTCGGGTCGCCTTTGTCAGAATATTATCTCATTGTTCTAGCCTGTAGTGGGGTGCTCTATAGCGAGTACAACCCTTCTAGGGTTTGCTATTTGTATCCTCATTCTTGCTAGTTCAATCCTCTTTCTTCTTCTAACTTTTGTCATGCTATCAGAGCAGGTCGATCCCTTTGGATCGATCCTGTGGGTGGGTTTCCACCTCGCTTCCGCTGCTACCTTTCCTTCCCGCCGTGCGCCCCTAGGCGCGCGGCGGTTTTTCCTTCCCGCCGTGGGCCCCGAGGCGCGCGGCGGTTTTCTGCCCGCCGTGCGCCCCGGGGCGCGCGGCGGTTCTTTGCCCGCTGTGCGCCCCGGGGCGCGCGGCGGGCGTCTGCTCTACGTCACGGCCCCGCCCTACGTCGCGGCCCTGCCCGACCGTCGCGGCCCCGCCCTACGTCGCGGCCCTGCCCGATCGTCGCGGCCCCGCCCTACGTCGCGGCCCCGCCCTGTGTCGCGGCCCCGCCCCTCGAAGCGGCCCTGCCCGACCGTCGCGGCCCCGCCCCTCGAAGCGGCCCTGCCCGACCGTCGCGGCCCCGCCCCTCGTCGCGGCCCCGCCCCTCGTCGCGGCCCCGCCCTACGTCGCGGCCCCGCCCTGTGTCACGGCCCCGCCCCTCGAAGCGGCCCCGCCCTACGTCGCGGCCCCGCCCCGACCGTTGCGGCCCCGCCCTACCTTCGCGGCCCCGCCCTACCTGTCGCGGTCCCGCCCTACGTCGCGGCCCCGCCCTGACCGTCGCGGCCCCGCCACTCGTTGCGGCCCCGCCCCTTGTCGCGGCTCCGCCCTCCAATCAGGTCCGTGGTGGGCCCTTTCCTCCACACCCCCCCCCCCCCCCCTCCCTCCCATTTCCCGTCGCCTGTCGCGGCTCCTTCGGGGGCCGCAAGCGGCCCCCTCAGGTCGCCTCGACGGACGACGGGAGGGGCGAGCTGTGGGGTGGCGGGTATGGGGGTGGTCGGTGTGCCTTCCTCCCTTTCTTCTCCTCCTCCTTCGTCTCCCACTGCTGCAGCTGTCGCTGAGGGGGGTGGTTGTGTGGGAGACTGGGTTTAGGGTTTAAGGGGGGTGTGTGGGAGTAGAGCTAGTGGTGTAGCAGTGGGTGTGTATCAGGGGGGTGGGACTGTGTGCGGGAGGATGAGCGGAGGTTGCCAGTTTGTCGTCAGCAGCACCTGTAGTCCGGGGCGCTGTCCCGGTAGCCCAGTCGTAGCCAGCTGTGCCAGCCGCCCGTGGGTCCGTTGCCCGTCCGCCGCTATTTGAGCCGCGGGGCCTGTTACTCCTGTAGTCCGGGCGCTGTCCGGTAGCCGCTGTGCCAGTCTGCCTCCTGTTGCCCGTGTGTCTGCAGCTTCAGCCGTCGCCTCCTGTCTCCTCTCCCCTCACTCTCCCTCCTCCTCCTCACTTGCCCGTTGTGACTACCACTAGCTTTGCTTATAATTGTAAACTCTAAACTATTTCTTCTTGAACTTGTGCTCAGAATGTGTGGTGACATTGTGATCCACCCTGAGCTTGTTTTGCTTTGCCTGCTCTGCTGATTACACCCCACTTTGGCTATGGGGGTGTGTCAGAATATTATCTCATTGTTCTAGCCTGTAGTGGGGTGCTCTATAGCGAGTACAACCCTTCTAGGGTTTGCTATTTGTATCCTCATTCTTGCTAGTTCAATCCTCTTTCTTCTTCTAACTTTTGTCAGCCTTTTCCCTCGCGGCCCCGCTGTCCCTCAGACGCGGCCCCGCCACATCTCCTGATCGCGGCCCCGCCGCCTGTTTGACGCGGCCTCGCCGCCTACCCTGACGCGGCTCCGCCGCCTCCCCTGACGCGGCCTCGCCGCCTCCCCTGACGCGGCTCCGCCGCCTCTCCTGACGCGGCCCCGCCGCCTGTCTGACGCGGCCCCGCCGCCTCCCCTGACGCGGCCCTGCCGCCTCCCCTGACGCGGCTCCCCCGCCTCCCCTGACGCGGCACCGCCGCCTCCCCTGACGCGGCTCCCCCGCCTCCCCTGACGCGGCCCTGCCGCCTCCCCTGACGCGGCCCTGCCGCCTCTCCTGCCGGCCCGCCACTGCACCTGCCGGCCTGCCGCTGCACCTGCCGGCCCGCCACTGCACCCTACGGCCCGCCGCTGCACCTGCCGGCCCGCCACTGCACCTGCCGGCCTCGCCGCTGCACCTGCCGGCCTCGCTGCTGCACCTGCCGGCCCGCCACTGCACCCTACGGCCCGCCACTGCACCCTACGGCCCGCCGCCTGCACCTGTCGGCCCGCCGCTGCACCTGGCGGCCCGCCACTGCACCTGCCGGCCCGCCTCTGCACCTGCCGGCCCGCCACTGCACCGGTCAACCCGCCGCTGCACCTGACGGCCCCGCCCCTGCATCTCCTGGCCGAGCCGCCTCAGCAGCCGAACCGCCCGTGAGCCGAGCCGCCCGACGCCGAGCCGCCCGGGACCCGAGCCGCCCTGCCGCCGAGCCGCCCGGGAGCCGAGCCGCCCTGCACCCGAGCCGCCCAGCCGCCGAGCAGCCCGGGAGCCGAGCCGCCCTGCGCCCGAGCCGCCCAGCAGCCGAGCCGCCCAGCACCCGAGCCGCCTTTCTGCATACCTATACGACCTGCCCTGCCTGGTGAGCACAGTCCCACTGACACTGCGAGCTCTTTCCCTGCTGCTTGCACTGCGTCGCTGTCGTCGCCATGGCTACCCCTAGTGTCCTAGCTTTTGACGCTGAGGGTCGCGCCATTGATTTTGAGGTCTGGTTAGACGACCTGCAGCTGTTCTTACAGTGCGACAGGGCTGACGACCTTTCTCTCTTTGATCTCACCTCTGGCGCCTCTCCTGCTCCTGCTGCTGATGCTGATCCCGCTGTCCGCTCTAAGTGGGCCACCCGCGATGCTGCTGCACGTCTTGCTGTGCGTCGCCACCTCCCTACCTCTGAGCGTGCGCACTTCAGTCAGTACAAGAGTGCTCAGACCTTGTACGACGCTGTAGTTGCGCGCTACTCCTCCCCTGCCACTGCTGCACTGAGCCGTCTCATGCTTCCCTACCTCTTTCCTGACCTCTCTGCCTTTCCCACTGTCGCTGACCTCATTACGCACCTCCGCACTAGTGACACTCGCTACTGCGCCGCCCTTCCTGCTGAGTTCTGCGCTAAGAACCCCCCCCCCATGTACATCGCTCTCTACTACGTAGTCGCGCGCCTCCCTGACTCCCTTCGAGTCGTCAGGGACCACTTTCTCGCAGTCTGTCCCACCACCCTCTCCGTCGACCTCCTCGAGAAGGCCCTCCTCGCAGCGGAGAAGAGCATCGTCGCTATAGGTGCTTCTCGTGGTGACCCTCGCACCCCCATCTTTGAGGGGTGCTCTCCTTCCCCCTTGCTGCCCTCTGTTGCCTCTGCTGCTGCTGCCGACCTGCTTGGTCTAGAGTCGGTCGGCGCGGCGTCTGCCCCTAGTGGGAGACGTCGCTCCAGCAAGGGCAAGGGGGGCAAGGGCGCGGGTGGAGCTGGAGGGGGCGGTGGCGGTGGCGGCGGTGGCGGCGGAGGGAGTGGGGGTGGCGGCGGGACTAGTGGCGGGGGTGGTGGTGGTGGTGGCAGCAGCGGCGGAGACGGTGGTGGTGGTGCCAGCGGTGGTGGTGGAGGCAGCGACGGAGGTGGAGGCGGCGGAGGTGGAGGCGGTGGAGGCGGCAGCGGAGGAGGCAGTGGTGGTGGAGGGGGT